ATAAGATTCATACACGTAAACATAAAATGATGAAGATTGAGTTCATTAAAAGTGCAAACTAGTGCCCAAAAAAAGATTGTCAAGACTGGAGGAATCAGGGAAGGCTTCAAAGAAGAGGTGACATTAGAATTGGGCTGTAGCACTAGCTGGTCAAGGATCTCTGCAAGTGAATCCTAAAGAGAACTAGGAGGAAACTGAATGGACGTTAAAAAGGCAGGTATTAGCTGAGGATAAGGACAAATGAGAATTAGAGCTGTTTAGAAGTTGAAAGGGCTGCCATGGAAAATTGAGTCCTTCATCACCAATGATTTTATAGAAGAGGCTGGATGACAGCTTGAGGGGGATATAAAGGGAATTCTACCAGGTAAGTATCAATCAATAAGCATTTATTAAGCACCTAACTGTCCTCAGCTACACTCAGAGATGGTCTGTTTCATATCCATTTTTATGAACTCTAAATAAAATGCCTTTATCTGATAATAATTTGTTGTCATTCTTTCTGTGCCTTGCAACTCCAAACCCGATTTTCTTTGTCTTCACAGTGACCTCCAATCCCTCTATCCTTTAGTTCTTTCCCAGGTCATGACCCCTGCACCTGCTGGTCTCTCTTGCCCTTGCCATCTTGACCCCTTGACAAACCAGTTCAACTCTATGCTGTCCTCGCAAGTCCCTTGGACCCTTATCCTCTCATCCATTTACCCTACCAAGCCTCATCCTTGAATTACTCCCACCATCCACTGTCTTTGCTCCTATTCACATGATGTTGAACAAGGTTGGAGAAAATCATTAAACCATTCTGACCGAGTCCACTACAAGTTTATGTTACGTAATCTCAACTGGGCCCTGACAGCAGCATGGCAATCCTTTTATACCACCCACTATTCACTGTCTCAATACAGTGGCTTTTCCAAGCACTTTTATCCTTCCACAAACCTCACCCTCTCATTTGAGAACTTTGCTTCATAGACCACTGAAAAAATTGAAACCATTCTCCAAGAGCTCCCTCTTCACTTCCTTATTTCACATTCAAATGCCTTCTGCCACTATCTCCTTCATCCCTGGCACGTGAAGTGGTCCTTCTTACCAAGGCAAACCCCACACAGGCACCAGGGATCACATTCTATCCCATCTTTCCCAGCAAATTTCCCCCTCTATCATCCCTACTCTCACTTAACATTCAGTTGCTCCCTTTCTACTGATTGCTTCCCTTTTGCCTAAAACATGCCCATATCTCCTTCACTCTCAAAACCCTCACTTGATGAATCCATGCCCACTAGCTATCATCCTATATCTCTCCTCTTTGTCTAAACTTGAGAGGCCATCTAAAATATGTGCTTCCGCTTCCTTTCTCACTCACCTCTCTACAACCTGGCTTGCTATCTCCTCATTCAACTGAAAACTGCTCTCTTCAAAGTTACCAGTGACCCCTTAAATGCCAAATCCTTTTCTCAGTCCTTATCCTTCTTGATTTCTCTGCAGACTTTGACACTGTCAGTCACCCTCTTCTCCTTGATAGTCTTTTCTCTGTAGGTTTTCAGGACACCATCCTCTGCTGGCTCTCCTACCCATCTGACCACTCCTCAGTCTTCTTTGCTGGATCTTCTTCAATGTCACAACCACTAACTGGGTGTTCCACAGGGCTCTCTTCTAGGCTCTCTTCTCCTTTACTTTTTCACTTGGTGACCTCATTAGCTATCATAGTTACAATAATCTCTATGCAGATGACACCCAGATCTAGTTGTCTAGCCCTAACTCTCTCCTAATCTCCAATCTCATATCTCCAACTGCCTATTAGATAACTTGAACTAAATGTCTCATAGATATAAACTTGAAATGTCTGGTATCCAACTCATTATCTTCATTCTCCCATCCCCAAACTCTTTCTTCCTTATAGTTGAGGACACAACCATTCAGTCACCCAGATTCAAAACCTAGGTCTCATCTTAAACTCCTCATTCTCACCCTTCTGTATGCAATCAGCCATCAAATCCTGTTGTTTCTATCTTTGTAACATCTTTTGTATACCTTCTCTCTAACGCTGCAGCCACCTCATGCAGGTCCTCATCACCTCACACCTGCACTATTACAATACTCTATAAAGTGACCTCCCTGCCTCAAGTTTCTCTCCACTTCAATCCATTCTCCACTCAGCCATTATATTGACCTTCTTAAAACACAGGTCAGTTAAAACTACTATTTAATAAACTCCAGTGGTTCCTTATTGCCTCCAGGATTAAGCAAAATCTCTTGCTTGGACCTCCCTATCTTTCCTACCTTCTTACATTTTATTCCCCTCCACGTACACTGCAATCTAGTGACATTGGTCTCCTTGTTGTTCCTTAAACAAGACACTGTCTCCTGATTCTGAGCATTTTCACTGGCTGTCCCCCATGGCTGGTACACTCTCCCTCCTCACCTCCACCTCCTAGTTTCTTTGGCTTCCTTGAGGTCTCACCCAAATCTCACTTTTGCTCTTGCAAACTGAGTCTCAGAGACGCAAAGTGTCCAAAGTCACAAAGCTAGTAAGTAGCACTTAGAATTTAAACCCAAATGGTCTTGCCAATATACCATATTGCTTTTTATATAACTTTGGTGACCTCATCACTTCTCAAAGATTCTAGTTATACCTATGAGCAGATCACTCTGAGGTGTAAATATCCAGCCTTAGTCTCTCTCTTGCCCTTCCCTCTAAGAATAGCCCCAATATATTCTGCATCATTATCCCACTCAACACAGTGGCTTTTCCAAGCATTTTTATCTTTCCTCCAACCTCCTCCCCTCACCCTCTCATTTGAGAATTTTGCTTCATAGATCACTGAAAAAATTGAAACCATTCTCCAAGAGCTCCCTCTTCTCTTCCTTATTTCACATTCAAATGCCTTCTGCCACTATCTTCTCCTTCACTTCTGTTTCACATGAAGTGGTCCTTCTTGCCAAGGCAAACCCCACTACATGTACAAGTGATTGCATTCTATCCCATGCTATCCTTCCCCCTTCTCCTCCCCCACACGGTTAGACTGTGAACTCTGAGAACAAGGGCTGTTTTCTGCCTTTCTTTGCTTTTCTAGCACTTAATATAGTTCCTGGTACTAGTAAGTACTTAAATGCTAGTTGACTGATGTGCCAGGCACTGTCCTGAGCAATAGAGATATAAAGGTGAACATGAAAGTTTTTGTTCTGAAGGAGCTTATAATCTATTAGGGGAGACGTGTACACATAAGGGAGGCAGCATGATGCAGTGGAAAGAGTGTTGGATGTGTAGTTTAAAAGGCCTGGGTTCAAATCCTGACCGTCACTTACTACCTCTGTGATCTTCAGGGTTAGGGCGCTCATGAAGGAGTTAGCATTTGACCTTTGAAGGAAGCTAGAGATTCTGATAGGTAGAGGTGGTAAGTTCCAGGCATTCCAGGCCTGGAACTCCTGTAAAAAGGCAAAGAGAAAGAAATGGGAATGTTAAATATGAAGGATTCCAAGGCCAGCCTAACTGGATCATCGAATACAAGCATGAAGAAGAGTAATATATGATAAGCTTCTAAAGGTTGGTTGAAACTTGGTTGTAAAAGGCTTTAAAGAATAACAGCTGGAGCCTGAGGAAGTAGGATTCCAGCTCTTCCCCACCCCTGAGATCTCAAAGTACAGAAGTCCTAGTGCTCTCAGTTTTTATTTTGATCCTAGATGAAATAGGGGGCCACTGGAGTTTATTAAGCAGGAAAGGGATTGGGTCGTATTTATACTTTAGGACTGTCGTTATTCACCCTTCGTTCTTAAAGAGGACCAATAACATCAGGAGATGATGTCTTGACTTGCTAGTGAATTGGATTTAAGTGATGCAGAGCTGTGCAAAGTCATCAGCCTCATTCTACTCCAGAGTCATTCAGAATCCAATGGCAAGACATAGATCAGAACTACTGGGAATGGCCCCAGATGCAGTGGAGACCTTGGCCTTTTTAAGCTAAGGTCTTTCCCCGTCTCAGTTTGTCTGAAGCAACACCCATTCAGTGATTAAAGGGCAAGTAGTAGTAGTAGTAGTAGTAGTAGTAGTAGTAGTAGTAGTCGTCGTCGTAATAGTAGTAGTAGTAGTAGAGGAAGGAAGAAAGGAAGGAAGAAAGGAAGGAAGGAAGGAAGGAATTAGCAGTATTGGCCAACTGGAACTATACTTTAGGAATATCACTTTTGCAGCTGTACGGAGAGAAGATTGAGGGGAGAGACCAGACAGAGAAAGGTTAATTAGTAGATTATTTTAATAGTCCAGGCAAGAGGTGCTGAAGGTAGTGGCCATGTGAGTGGAGAGAAGATAGTAAATATGAGAGATGTTGTTGAGCTATAATTGACAAGACCTGGCGATTGATTGGCTATTTAGGGAAGCAGAAAATCAAAATGAACAAAGGTTTTGAATCTGGGTGATTAGACCCATGACCCCAACAAACAATAGGGAAGTTTGGAGGAGGGAAAAAAAATTAAAAGTTCTGTTTTGGACCTGTTGAGTTTGAGAAGCCTATAGGACATCAGTTTTTTGAATGTTTAACTTAATGTTTATTGATTAATTGAATTCAGTGATTTCAAAAGTCTTTTCCAGTTTTAATATTTTATGGGCCAGTTGATGTTGTGGGACTGGAGTTCAAGAATGAGACTAAGGCTGGATATTTAGAGTAGTCTGTTTATAGGGATAACTGGGATCTCTGAGAAGTGATTAGGTCACCAGTTATATGAAGGCAAAGTGGTATACTGTCAAGATCATTCGGGTTTAAATTCTGACAGCTACTCACTATTTGTGTGACTTTGGACATTTCCCTACTTTGAGACTCAGTTTCCTTATCTGTGAAACGAGGGAATTGGACTGGATGCATAAAATCCCTTCCACGATTCTGAGATTCTGTGGCTGGCTTGGGTTCTCACCTTTCTCATCCAGTCTGCGCCTCCTGCAGTTGCTCCTCCTAGGGCGAGGGGGCACTGTGGGCTCTAGGGGGCGCGAGGGCAGGGAGGGGGCGGAGCCTCTTTTCCTGGCATCCGGCGACGTCAGTGGCGGCGCGCAGTTGGTTGGGTGAACCGCAGAGCCCAGGGCCAAGCGTGGGGGCCGGGGGCCGTTTTGGATCGCGATGCCGTATGCCAACCAGCCCACGGTGCGGATCACCGAGCTCACGGACGAGAACGTCAAGTTCATCATCGAGAATACGGACCTGGCGTAAGGAGCTAGCGCCTTGGGGCTTCCAGGGAGTTTCGGGAGGGCGCGGGGGCTTCTTCCGCTCTCTGAGATCTGTGGGGAAGGGGCTTCCCCTGGGGTGTCCCTGGGGGGAGGGGACGGGGAGGACCAGCCTTGGGGACCCTCTCTCATTAGCCTCTGCTTCCCTCCTCCCCGCAGAGTGGCCAATTCCATCCGCAGAGTCTTCATCGCAGAGGTGCCCATTATAGGTAAGCCTGCGGCCTCGCTGCCATGGTAACGCGCGCCCCTCCCTTGCCCCTCGGTATTTTAATAATAAATAGTTCTTCCCGTTTCCCTAGGTTTTAGAGGTTGCAAAGCGCGTTCCCCATGATAACCCTAGGTAGGTAGTGTCTTTATTCTTGACCCCTGTTTTGTAGGTGGGTAAACGGAGGCACAGGAGGTGAAATGAGTTGCTCAGGGTCACACGGATATGGAGGTGGTGTGGAAGCTGGGGCGTTGGGGACTTCATTTATCTGATTAACCAGTTGAACTATTCCTTGTCCTCATCCTTCTCAGCCTGCCCCTTCTTCCTGCTTTGTTCATGCCCAAAAGGCACTCTTCTTCCTCCTCCCCCACCCCTTTTCTCTTTGTTGATGCCCCCTGTTTTTTCAGTGTCCATCTTGGATACTACTTACTCCATGACATCTTCTGATTCTTTCTGCCCTTCTTCAGCTGAATGTGATCTCACCTTCCTCAAAATCCTTATAGCCCTTTCCTCATGCTCTTACTTAGACTACAGCACCAGCAACCACCTCTGTGTTTTCTCCACCCCCCTTTTGGTTTTAAGCTCCTTAAAAGCAAGGTCTCTTATAGGATTTATCTCATAGCATGGTGCCTCATGGGTATGGTAGATTAAATAAGATAACATATGTAAAGTGCTCTGTAAACCTAGAATTGCCGAAAAGAAAGAAAAAGGCTGTCTTTGGAACATTTTTAAAAAAATATATAGAAAAGAACAAAAGGAAACCCAGGCAAGAAGGATAACTACGAAATTTACATGTTGAATTTATTATATTTTTGAAAGGAAAAAGCAAGCTGTACATATTAAAGATTCACAAAGCCTCTTTTTCTCCCTGCTTTGAATTTAGAACATAGTATTAAGTGGAGAACAACAACAACAACAAAAGAAATGGAATTGAACTAGATGATTTTTAAGGCTTCTTCTCAGCTTTAACGATCTATGACTTTGCAGTGGGATAATCTACAGTCTTCACCTCTCTTCCCTGCCAACCAAATCTTGTTCTTTCAGGGTCTAGATCAGCCTTAACCTCTCCGTCAAGTATTCCCTAGTCACTGTGGTCCACAGTGATAGCCTCTTCCTTTCATCTTTTAATATTTAACATACATATTTATTTAACAGTTAAGCTTATAATGTTTAGCACAGTGTCTGGCATATAATAGGCACTTAATAAATGCTTGTTGACAGACTGACTTAAAAAGTACCAAACCGTGTGATACAAGCATTAAGTGAAATATGGTTTGGATAAAGGAAGTCATTATAGGTCAGAGTTTTCAGGAGGTAGTATTTGAGCTGGGTCTTTTAATATGAACAAAATAAAACAAAGACACATTGAGCATGGATTATGAAGGTCACAATGAGAAGACCACTGTAGCTAGAGTAAAGGGAGTACATATGAGAGGTCTGAATAAGGCTGGATGGTGCTCTGTGCATAGCATGGGGACAGATTTTAGAGAACTTTGAAAGAAAGGCAGCCTCCAGTTCATTTCAGTGCCCCTAACTTGCAAGTGACAGTATGGTACATATTGGTATAATGAACAAGCTTTGATCTTCCTTCCTGAAGGGTCAGCACAAAGGTCTCACTACTATCTGCTTGATTATTCCCTGTGTCTTCAGTGTAAGCTCTGTGACTCAACTGCATTTCTGCCTTTTTTTTTCTTTAGCCATAGATTGGGTCCAAATTGATGCCAACTCATCAGTGCTGCATGATGAGTTCATTGCGCACAGACTTGGTAAGTGTTAAGTTCAGGAGGTGTAGGGGAGAAGGGATGCCAGCTTGTGTCTTAGAAAGATATGAGAGCAAGCCGCCTGACTTCTGAAGGATTTTGATCTACTTGAAACACTGCTTTGTTTTTTTCCAGGATTAATCCCTCTTACAAGTGATGACATTGTAGACAAGCTGCAATACTCCAGGGTAAGATTATAACCTATTCTGTTTGATTACCGGAGAGTATTTCCTTGATAACATGCTTTCAAGCTCTTAGATTGCATTCAGTTGTCCAGTTTTATATCATAGTAATTCTGAAGCTTTTTCATTCCACTATCCCCATTTCCCCATAACCACCTCATATTAATTCCAAATTGTTGTGAAAAAGGGAACAGTAGTAACGTCTTGCCTTGTTTATCCTTTTAGGAAGAGATGTTTGTCTTTGTGAAGTTGGTTAGATGTATGAGAGAAGAGTCTGTATGTAATGGTAAAGGAATGGGCGGGGGATAAAGTGAAGGATTGAGGTATAGGGGAAAACAGTATTGACAGGTTCTGCTAATATAAATAAAATATTCTTCTATACTAGTTCTGGTTTGAGAAACTTTTCTTCTCTAAAGGATCTTATTAAACCTTGATTGTCAGGCTATATGCAATCTGAATGTTAAGTTACCAGTAAAGGAGTGGTATGTGCATATGGAGGATTAGGCCCTTCAGTGAAATTTTCCAGTTTAGAATTTTCTGCATTCAGCAACTGCCTATTATATAGGCTGGCTGTAGTTTATATATAGGTTATTGTATTAAATCATTTGGTTGGAGCATAGAATTAACTTTTCCATAGAAACATGTTGTAAATAAATGATGGTTGGATATACAGGCTAGCCTAGAAAAGCCTTTTGAACACATAATAGAGATGAAGTAGTACCATGAGACCTAGTTCCCATTTACAACATTGTTTTTATGGGAAAATAAATATTTGGAGTTCTGTCTTAGGATATAACCAGAGATTCTTGTGTATCCATAATGGTGCCTACACTAGTCGGGGGGAAGATAGGGATGTGGTGATGGTGAGGGGAAAGAATTGCCATTCTTATATACCTATCATTTTTTGAGTCATAGACTGTCTATCAGCCCAAAAGAATAACATCAGATCAATACTGTACACAAAAAATGTCTTTGAGATTCTATGATTGTACTATTTTATGAATTTAGAAACTTAAGAGAATTGGTGTTGGATATAAGATGCAAAATCCAGACCAAGCTCTTTTGCTTCAAACTTATTTCTGTTCTTTATCCTCTTCTAGGACTGTGCATGTGAAGAGTTTTGTCCTGAGTGCTCAGTAGAGTTTACACTTGATGTGCGTTGCAATGAGGATCAGACTCGCCATGTCACATCTCGGGATCTCATTTCTAATACTCCCCGAGTTATTCCGGTCAGTATCTAGTCACCTCCTCCCCTTACAAAGACTTCTTCTACCATGTAAGCTCCCATTCAGAAGTTGTAATAAATTCTTCGTTGCTTGTAACATTGGAATTTTTTCACCTAGCTGATAACCAATTTACTGATCTTAGGCCCTTGTTAATGCCAGGCAGGAATCGTATAGGTACTAATTCTTGGTCCAAGTGCACTAGGCCCCTCCTATGGGGAGAGCCCTTTAAAGTGCCAGCAAATTTAGACTAGAATTGTTCTCCCTGTCACTAACATGGGTACATCCTTCTAACTATTCCTACCATGCCATTCTTAGGTTAATTTTCTGTAGTCATCACTTAGTCAATTAAAACTTTAAGTCATTTAACGAGCCAAAAATAAGAGAAGAGCAGCTGATCTCCACCTTGGGTTCCTTTCAGGTGACATCCCGGAGTAGAGACAATGACCCCAATGACTATGTGGAACAGGATGGTAAGTGGTTTGTGTAAGAGTTAAATACCTGTTCTTGCATGTCTTGGTATGGTAAATGGAAATGGAACAAACAGAGCCTCTTATTGCTGGTTTTCAGGGTAACCTTGCTTTCAGGTTTTTATATTCCTTAGGCTACAAGTCTGATCCAACATCTGGAATCTGGCATCTCCAGTTACCTTTCTTGACCTAGGTTTTTATTCTCCGCAGACATCCTCATTGTCAAACTCCGGAAAGGCCAGGAACTGAGACTACGAGCCTATGCTAAAAAGGGCTTTGGCAAGGAGCATGCCAAGTGGAACCCTACAGCTGGAGTGGCCTTTGAGTATGACCCAGATAATGCCTTGAGGCATACAGTTTACCCAAAGCCTGAAGAATGGTATGTTCTGCTTCCAGGTAGAGGTGAAGTACTTACAAGGAAAAGGGGATGTGTACTCTGAGATCTGCTGTGTTCCTTCTTGGTTCACTTCTTATTTAGATGTCAATGTAACAACTACAAAGGCTTATAGACCCGACTTACTTAGGGTCTTCTAACCTCCACCCTCATATCTGCAAGCCGTTCTGTGTATACTTTGGATATAATTTTTTCGTCTACTTCAGCAGTCCCACAGAACATGATCCAGAGACCCAGGGTGTCCCCAAGACCCTTCCAGGGGGTCTGCAAAGTCAAACAGTAAAACACAGTAAATAATTGTAGTACAGTACAGTAGTAGTACAGTAAATTTACTAATACAGTAAATATTGATAGATGTAACTCAAACAAAAGCTCTTTGGGGTCCTTAATAATGTTGTAAAGGGGTCCTGAGAACAAAAAATTTTGAGAACCACTGGTCTCCTTGATTCCACATTAGTTTCTAAGTAAAACATATTTGCTGTACTACAACAGTATAAACTTATTCAGCAAGTTAACATAACTAGGCTCAAAGAGAAGAATCTGTGTTAAAACACTTGGATTTAATCTGCCATGCGAAGAATGCCCATATGCCCCTGTATTTTGCAACTTCTTAGTTTTCCTATAAAGCATTTAAATGAATTTTGTGCTGTCATTTTCTTTGATCATCCCAGGCCAAAGAGTGAATATTCTGAGATTGACGAGGATGAAGCTCAGGCTCCCTATGACCCCAATGGCAAACCAGAGAGGTAAGATCTGTCAGGTATTTAGGGTTATTTCTAACAATACTGGCCAGTCTGACCTTGCATTTTGGTGGCTTCTGTATTGTGGCAGTAGGGATGTAGTTTTGCATGGGATAAGTACCAAAGGAGAAAATTCTTCCATTGTGTCAGTACTTAGTTACCCAGACTTAAATCTGTAGGAAGTTGCAGCTGACATCAATTATCACAACTCTTGCAGATTTGGGGGCACTATGGCCCCTTAGTCTTCCCAGGTCGCTTAATTTATGTCCCCAGTGAGTTGCCTTTTTAAGCAGGTTTAAGGTAACGATTTTATGATATTCTTTCTCCTTCAAAAATTTTAAATGGCATATTTGTTTTAAGGTTTTTTCAATCCACACTGAAGTGTAACAGACGATGCCCTGTGATGTAGAAAGTTTTAGGAATAGCTATCTAGAGATCTGTCTTCCTGAAGTTATTAGGTGTGGAAGATTGAACCCTGAGTGTTAAGGGTTAGTTAAAGATAGAGAGTAGAATAGGGGTAAGCCCCAAACTCAGGAATTTAAGTCATAGCACTAAGGGGCATTTACAGTCTCTGCCTTTCCTTTGGACCTCGTTCCAGATTCTACTACAATGTGGAGTCCTGTGGCTCTCTTCGCCCAGAAACCATTGTCCTTTCTGCTCTGTCTGGTTTGAAGAAGAAGTTGAGTGACCTTCAGACCCAGCTAACCCATGAGATCCAGAGTGATGTTCTGACTATAAACTAGCAGCAGTCATTTCTACCAGAAATGGGACTCAAGGAAAATGGATGCACTTCTAGCCTGAGCTTCTGCTTGCCACTGTAGAGTGGACTAAAATTTAGTTGGTTCAAAGTCCTGGCTAGCACATTGCAGCTTTTAAACCCGTTGCCAGGTTAGGATGTAATTAGCTTAGGAAGATAACATGGGAAGTAGAGATGGGAGGCTTCACTCCCCACAGGGTCTCATCCTGGTCTCCTTGGGTTGGTCTCTTCCTTTAGTATGAACCGAAAATAAAAAGCCTTATCCCCCTGGGCATCAACAAACATTTTGGAGGATGAGGTGAGTAGGTCCATCCTTTATTAAATCCTTGTCGTAAACAACCTTAAGGCTATACTGAGCCTTAAGTACATCTCTACTGTTGCACCTTTGTTAGCAGCAGCAGGGAAAATTCTCTGCCCCAGATTGTAGGCCCAATCTTTCAGTGAGTTACTTATTCTCTGGTAGTGCTTCACCTGGCTGGGTTTGAGCCTTTATTGAGTACAGTGTTTTCTCCTAGGTTTGTTTTGAAGTGTTCTGTTAATTTCTTACCAGTCCCCAGCTTAGGCCCACTGCCTTCTCAACCCTAAACTCCTCTACCTGTAGCTTGATCACTTAGTTGAGAAGAGAAAGCAAGCATCCTTCAGTGTTTTCTTGATGAGAGTGGGTTAGCCCTGACTCCATACCACTGGCTCCAAAGGAAAGTACATCAGGGGATAGTTGGGTGACAAATCAGAAAAGCAAATCAGATAGTAAGGGTCCTTTATTGATGAGCAGGTTTTTAAAAAAAATCATTTTTGGCAATAAACAGCACATAATTTTATGTCCTACTTCCTCCATGCATCATTCTTCCCTGGCCCAACCCAGGTAGCTCTGCTACCTCAGACCATTCCAAGGCCTTTAGACTGAGCATTTGCCCCCATCCCCATCCCACCCCCCATCTTCACAAGCAAAATCTGATTTGTTCCTCAAAGAGAAGAGAAATTGAATGAAACCAAGGAGGAAAGTTGGGCCAGCGGCTACCTCCCTTGCTCCTAGATTTGGGTGGGAGGGTCTTCTTCTTTAGTCTGCCTTTTGCCTCAACTGAAATAAATATTTACAAGAAGCTCAACTCCCCAAATCAGGACCACAAACATTTTAAAAAAAAAAGGTTCCATGTGAATAGAAAGATAGCCCTTCTGCACGGTAGTCAAATAAATACCAGCACTAGAAAATCAATTGCTTTAATTGCATTTCAGCAGCGTCGGCCCCATGTCAAGTGGGAAGCCTCCTGTCCTGTGAAAGAAAAGGACAAGTGGTAAGAGGTACTCCCCAGGGAGGTGATGGGGCAGGGGAAGGGAAGGGGGGGCCTTAGGAATGCTACCCTTCCTCCTTACTATGTCATAATAATCTGACTTGGAGGATGTGAGGCCTCCTTCCTAAACCTGATTTTAGGGCAGTATACTGAGTCAGAACTAATCAGGGTCCTAGCCCTCCCCCTTTCCCAGAGCCTCCTCCTCAAAGAGTAAGATAATGGTCAGTGACCCCTCCAGCCCCAACAGGCAGGAAGGGGTTTGTGCAGAAATGGCAGTTTAGAGAGAAAGATGTCACCGGATGTGTCACAGTACAAAACTTGCTGCTGGCACAACCAAGATGCCATCTTCCTGTGCCATCCTACTAGGACCCTGGATGGGAGTTCTAGGGCTAGCTGCTTCTCCCTGGCCTCTGCCTGGGCCTGCTCAGGTATAGCCAGGCTGTTGGATGCCTGCTTTTGCTTGGGTTCAAATCCTCATTCCAGAGTCCTTCCAGGTTCTGGGATCTGAGGGGCATTTCCACAGACAACAGGAGATCAGCTGCTCCAAAGACACCAGCCACTGGTCACCAGATCTTAAAATTGCATTTGTGGGTGGGGAGGGCAAAGATAAAGGGGGAAATCCCATTAATGTAGAATTATGTAACAATATATATTAAAATCATAACCATATACAGTCCCTTGGTTGCTCTAGCCCCTCATGCATGCTCTGGTGAAGTGAATGGGCCCTCTCCTTGGGCCAGGCCTGTCACTCAGCTGAGGAAAAGGCATCTATCCCACTCGCTTTCTCCAGGCTTTCCTTCTGTAGGGTAGGGTCCTGGGTCATCTGTCCCCTTGGGGAGAAATGTGAGAGGAGAGGGGCCAGGAAGGAAGAAGCCGTCAGTGTGCTGCCAGTCCCTCCCTTGGGATGACATGAGCTATTTCAGTAACAACAGCATCACTGGGAAGCCGTTTTGGCCTCCTTGCTCTCTCCTGTACCAGCCTTTGGCTTCAGCAGGATAAATCTGTTGAGAAGGTCAGTGTCCGAGCTTGCCTGAGCAGCTCCATATGTTTCACCTGTGGACAGAAAGGTAGACCAAGGGTGGCATTCTGTGACACCTAAAAGTTGAGGTCACAGGATGTAGTGCCTCAAGAAGCTTCTACTGGGAGGGCAAAAATAATTGCCAGTTGCCCATAATGATTTAGATAATCAAAAATAATCTGTTAATGAATGCTTCAGAGAGGATAGGCAAGGCAGGAGAAGTCACTTACCAGCATAGCTGGAAGTCTCAGCAATGTTCTGGGAACCAGTGATGTGATGCCAGTAGGCACTCCGGGGCAGCATGGTGGTTGGTGTGCACGGATAGGAATAGTGCTCAGTACCTTTGTTCAGCAGCTGAGACAGAGAGAAGAGGAAGGCCATTAACAGGAGGACGAGACATGGCAGAGATGGCCTGGGGAATCGGGCCTGGCATCTGCACAGGACCAAGCAACAGAGGGAAGGACTCAAAGACACAGACTGTCAGAAATGACCTTATGGGATTATTTAGTTCAAGCACTTCACTTTACAGGTAGGAAACTGAGGCCTAGAAAGGTTACGACTTGTTTAAGATCGGATTAATAAGTGATAAAAGGCCTTGAACTCAAATCTGACTCCAAACCTAATGCTTTTCCCATTACACTAATGTAGGAGGCTGTGCCTCAATGGGACAGAAAGATGTCTCAAAGCGTGCTGGCCTCTCATGCCTGTCAATTCAGTCCCCTCCTGCTTCCCCAGCTTCCCACTCTGGGCCTCACCCTCACGTTCTTCTCCATCTCCAGTAGAACCCGTTTGTGCTGCTCAGCAATCGCCAGGGTGGCACTATGTACTCGTTGGTAGATCTGCTCCCCCTCTTGTGTCTGGAATGTGTAGAGCCCTTCACCTGCATCACACATCCTGTTGGACAGCACTAGAGCTATGGGAAGGGTGGTGGGGACCAGAAGTGTACACATATATAATGTACATACACATGCCTTGCTAACATGCATCGCCTATGGCACAGGCTTGCTTTCTGCTTATTCACAACCAAATTAATGCTGCTGCCCTCCTAACCCCCCATATCACAAATCCTTAATCCACAGCCCTCTGAAAAATGCAGCAGAGCCCAGCCCCTTGAAGTTATCGCCTCAGCTCTGGAACCAAAATACTTTTGGCAGGATGCTGGTCAGAAATGTAAGTAGATGGAGGATAAAAAGATGTTCTTTGGTTTCCATAGGTGGAGTTAGAAGATCTGAGGCCCTACCTGCCAGCCTCAAACGTGAAACGCGTAGCATCCCGGCCGTAGCGGCGCAAAGAGCAGAGTGGCCATGAGATGAGCTTTACACGGGGGTTGTGCATATCCCAGAGGTAGATATTCTCATGGGTGATCTGTAGTTTGCATTCACCATAGACGTCCAGGTTGGGGCAGGGCAACAGGAAGACATTGAATCGATCTAGTGAGGGGAGATGGAAGGAGGAAAAAAAAATGGAACTGTAGTTGTATGAAAAGTCTCCTCTCTCTCAGCCACTTTCCTTGAACTTCAAACCCATGGGTCCTAGGCTCCATACTTTACCTGTTTGTTCACACTGTACTCCCGGAGCCAGGAGGTCTGGCTCCCCCAGACTGATGTCATTGAGCCGGGCACCTAAGCATTCCACAGACAGCGTCTTATACCACTCTTCGGCTTCCAGCTCTGAAACGCAAGTTTGAGCACTTGTCAAGTATATCCATCTGTGCACTGGAGCCTGCCACCCAAGAATTCAGTCATGGAGAAGGCACTTCACATCTCTCAACTACCTTACCACCATCCTACCAAATGGTTTTTTCGACTTCGTCCAGTTTCCCCTTAGAGGAAGAGAGAGGACTCCTTATTTCAATTACTACAATAATAGAATAACAGTACCACTCCATACTCACCCACCAAGAGATTAAGCCCCAAGTTTTATAAAATGGTCACCTGGCTCTTCTCATCAGTCCTTATAGTTAAGAGCAGAAGGCTACATCCTCTTCAGGATTCCATTATTCTGAGGACTTCTCCAAGATCCTCAACTCTGGGCCCAACTAAAGCTAACCTTGTTTAGCTCTAAACCTCTGCCTCATGTCCCCAGCTGAGGTCTGCCACCTCAGTCACTCACCAGAGTCACAGGTGAAGGTTCGAGCTGAGTCATCAGTAAAGATAATGGCCACAGCCTGCCGCTTTGTTTCCTTAGGGAGCCTTGTGACACACTTCACATTGCTGATCTCAGTCACCTGTATGGAAACCATAAGAGACTCAGCCTCAGCATCTGTGTTTCCCTCCAGGGCAAAAAGGTAGCCAGAATGCCCCAAGTTCCAGTCAGATTAGGAGGAACACTTCCCACTGTCCAGCCTGCCCCAAGGTGGGAGCTCCAGGTAGAACCACAAAACCAGACTTTGGGAGGAGGTACATTAAAGATTAAGGGTCAGCCATCTTAGCCATGAGGTAAGGGAGGTTAGTGACTGACTCACCTTGGGGCAACCTCGAAGACACACTGATTTCTCATCAGGATACTTTTCCAGCCTCTGAGGTCCCTTGCTAGAAGACTTTCGGAAAACTAGCCAGCACCTTCGATAGATCTGTCAGGTGGAAGATTTTGAGTTCAGACTCAGGACAGTCCCCTAAATCTACCCTACCCCATCACTGCAGCCAGTGGACTGACCTAGCTATTTTCAGACCCAACTACAGAGGGCAGCACTTGATAGAACTCAATGGATGGAAAGAAAACCTGAGTGAGTAATGAAAAAACATGGACTGGCTCTTCAACTAAGCACCAAAACCTGGCACAAAACACAAATGGGTTTCCTTGTCCCTGATGTAAAGAACGAGTAAGAAGCATACCCCCTTCTGATCTCAAATGCCAAGACAAAAGTGGGAGCCAAAGATATGAGCAATATCCTACAGGGCCCCAATAAAAAGGGAGTCATAAAGTATCCTCAAAATATGGACGTGGTCTCCTGTTTTTATATAGCCTTCATTTCCCAGTATATCCTTCCTCCCCAACCCATCCCACCCCACGCGCCAACTTCTAAGAAAAAACTCCCAGAAAGTGGTCGCTTATAACAAAGAATAAAAAAGGAAAAGAAAAAAGCCCCAGTAAAACCAATACACCAACCAAGTCCAATATATGTTAAGTGTTTCACAGCCATGGTTTTCTGCCCCCGACCCAATCTTCTTAGCAAAGTTCAACAATACTATAATCCTAGCGCCTTAACTCGGGATTAGCAACACAAGGAAACCCTAAACATCCATAAGATTATAAAAAAATTGATATGACTATGATTATTTTGGCTTTGTCTATCAAGCTCATCTGAACCAGACTGACAGGAGGAATTTAGACACCTCTTTTTCATCCTTGGCCTTATACGGTTGCTGCAAACGCTAATACTTGATGACAATAATACCACCTGCATCTATGCAGTGCTTTACACTTTAAATGGTCTTCACATGTATCTCATTTAGGCCTCTCAGTAGCCCTTTGGAATGGACTGAGCAAGGATTTTTGGCCTCATTGTGGAAATGGGGAAACTGAGGCTCAGAGAGACCAAGTGTTTTTATAGATCTCTTGGACTCTAGTCTAGTATCTTTTCAGTCTATCAAGCCAACCTCTGTATAGCACCTTTTACTCTAAGTCCTAACCGCCTTTAAAACTGAGACTACCCTTCCTAACAGTTCAGGGAGCCAGGCAGAAGAAACAAGATTTCTCTTCATGTGATAAGATAGAATTTAAGGGACAGAGAGAAAAAATGACCTGCCAAAAGACACATGGCTATGGCTGGATCAGTGGGCGCCCTGAAAATAAAATTCTATATCTTAACTCTCCAAAAATGTAATTAGTCCCTGTCCTTCCTTCACTAGTCCTATTCTCCTTACAGATGAAGATACTAAGGTCCCTTTTCACCTGGAGCTTTAGTGACCTAGAAAATCCTAAGGCACCAATTCTCCCTTTGGAGGTGGTACAAAGTTATGTGCTATGCTTCCTATCTAGGGAAACTGAAAAAGCCTCCACATAATCTCATGACTGGCACCAAACTCTATCCCAGCTCTACCTGCTGTGGCCACGTGTGCTGGGAGTTTCTCTGTCATACACACAGTGCCACTCCTCAGCCAGGCCTCGGTCCTGGGTGGGGCATTTTTCAGGGCTCCTGGCAGGCAAACTGGAGATAACAGCCATAGCTACGCTCAGCTAAGTGAACACTGGAAGAGATAAGCTCCCCGGGCCCATGAAGGACCATTTTCCCAGGGGATAGGCTAGAAGCCCACACCTGTCACATTTTGATCTCCTGTCTTAGGGACCACCAGAACAGAAGTCTATTCCTTGAGCTACCTGTCTTAGTCCATCCTCCAAGAAGAAAGCCAACTATGCCAAAGGCCAAAGCTGGCACTTGTGTCCCAGATGGGCAGTCTGTCATAGTCAAAAAGAACACTGGCTTGGGAGTCAGAAAACCTCAGTTACATTAAACCTGGCTCTGCAGCTTATGTGTGTGACATATAAACATCACTTTTCTGGCTCTCAATTCTTCTATCTATAAAATAAAGGGACTCTTGTCTATTCTATCATTCATTTATATCCCCCACTTGCCTAGCTTCTAGGTTCTGTCCTCATTACTTGGCCTCCTACCCACCTAATGCTTGGGGGGGGCACCAACACTCTATGTTCTAAGCAGTCTCAGTTATTATATAATTCAACAAGGCACCTAGATCAGGGACTCAAGATTCTTCCTTCTTCACTACCATTCCCGTCTTTAGGGGTCCAGTATCTAAAACTCAGAGATCTAGTCTGCTGTTGGGAGGAAGTCAAGAATGGGAGTGCCCCCACTTTAGTTCTGCCTCTTGAGGCCACAGCATGTGCAAGCCATAGGATCAACTACCCTAAGCTGCCAATATACAGAAACTGATGCTCATGAAGAAAAATGGGTTGGTCCTCATTGAGTATCTAGCATTTGAGGGTGGGGTGGGGAGTACATGTGCAAACTAGCTTGACCAAGACCACAAAGAATCATGGAATTTTAGAGTTGGACTCTTCTTGGCCTTCTACACTGCATCCCTAACCTTTGGCTACATCTGCCTCTTACCAATGACTCTCCCCATTCCAGGCTCCTCATTATCTACTATCCAGACTTCTTAGGCTGTTATTCCCACTGCCTGCTTCTCACACCCCCAAGCCTTGTGGGCCAGGTAATATATTTGGAAAGGCTCACCTGTGAGCCTGGGAACCCAGAGGTACTAGATCCTTAAAATTCGGTTTACTGATAGTGCTGGCTCAGAAAGGGAATATTAAGACCTGAGGTCCCAACTCTGCCTCTAGGATGATCTTGGTCTGCTTCACTGCTCTTGACTTCAATCCCTTTGAGAGAAGAGGTAGTCATATTGGAGGTCAATGGGTTAAATGCTTCCCCCCTTGGGATGTGAGTGAAGGAGTAGAGCTTGGCAGTCCTACTTGAGGGCCCAAGCTGTTTTACACATATTCATAAACCAGAGATCTAAAATGTGACCCATTACACATCAAATCAAATCCTAACTGGATTCCAGCTCCCTGTACTCACAAAATACAGCTGTCTGTTGGCTAGTAACCAGGGCCATAAAACATCATCTCCCTGCCTTTATCTCTCTGACAAGCATCCTTTGCACTCTAGCATACTGCCCCAAGGAGCCATCAGGATGCCACAAGACTACAAAAAAGTCAACCCTTCACCTGATGAAGACTGCTCTGGAACATCTACCTAGAGCAGGGAGAAGGGTTCCTTGTTCTACCAGACTGGATATACTATACTATACTATACTATACTATACTATACTATACTATACTATACTATACTATACTATACTATACTATACTATACTATATTATATCCACCTACCACCTGACTGAGCTAGAGTCCTCTCATGAATAAAATGAGGCTTAATCTCCCTGGTTTCTCCAACTGCCCATGTAATATAGGAAGATGGGGGAGGACATCAGGGCCTGAACCCCACTTGAGCTTTTGGAAACACTACTGCTTTTATCCTGGGACACAAGCTCCCCTTGAAATGTGTAGGGTATTCAGGGGAGACACAAGCTAAGGGGTTAGATAATTAAGTCAGTCCATGAACTTTCACCCACCCTGGCTTAGGAATCCCAGTTAGTGAGACGGGATGCTATTCTGTCCAAACTTATCCAAGACTTGTGGAGCACAGGGTGGGGAGGGACAAAAAGGACTATTTAAACAAGAGATAGGAGACCTGCTCTCCAAGGGCACCATTCATTTCATGGAATTCTCATTTATATTTAAATCAAATCAATAAGCAAAAGTATCTGCTTTTCCACACCTCCCCCACCCCCCTTCACTAGCTCTAAAAATACACACATACACACAAGCAATCTGATTTGTGGGAGATAATGTACTTAAAAGAAAGAAAGAGTCCCCAGGGCCAGACCAATTTCTGCCAGATCCCTCTAGATGGCTGTTTTATAGCTCAGTTGCAGCCCTGGATTTCCAGGGCAAGTGCCTTAGGGACAACTTTAACAATAGTGGGGGAAGAGCTGGCCCCCTGGCTCCAGTCTTCCTACCCACCAACTAAGTAATAACTCCAGATTTGAGCCCCAGGCTGGGGCTGACAGCAGAGCTTCCAGGAGAAAGATCCAGGAACAAAGTCGGAAACCAGCCCTAACCAGGAGGTGGGGACCCTTTCAGCAACAAATGCAGCCTAGTTTCCATATTCCTAGATTTCTTTAGTATCTCTAAATGACAGGCTCCTCCCCGCGGTCATGTCAGTGCTCCAGCCCCTGGCTCACTCACCCCGAGTTTCCTGCTCTTCATCTTCACGTAGCCTTGCTTGACAATGTCATTAAAATTGGTCGCCATGGTGCCGGGACTCCCTCAGCCCCTCCCTACGCCTGGATTTGCAGTGCTTCCCCTCAAGGCTTGGATGGGCTTCGTCAAGTCCGTGGGATACCAGGGGCAGACTCTTCTTCCCGCTGCCTGCCTAGCTTCTCAGGATCAGCTCCTCCAATCACCTGTTCTCAGCCGCTCCCTCAGGCTTCCCACCGGCTCCTCCTCACCTCGCCAGCCTTAGCATTGTTCTAGCAAGTCTCTTTCTGTGAGCTTTCTTTGCGCTGGCTGGAAAATGAAAAATTCGGATAGATTAGAGACAGTGACATCTTTCCCCTTTCCTCTCTCTTTTTCCCTTCTTCTCACACTCCTCCTCACAAGCCCTTCCCCTCTCCCCTTCTTTTCTCCCCACCCCTGTTCCCATGATGATGACTGAACCATTCAGGAAAACCGAGGTAGACACTAGAGAAGAAAATGGAACAGCCCAGTTTCCTCAGCTGATGTTTAACCCCTTCCTTTGAGGGGTGGTTCCTGAAGCTCGGAGTGGGGGACCTGTAGAAAACAAACAGGGAGCTGGAAAGAAAGAAGCACTGCAAAGGAGGTGCCTTGGGTGAGTCAGAATCGGTTAACCATTAGCCCTGCAAAAATGTTAGGCAGCAGAGCAGTCAGGGTGTCTTTGTGGTGAAACTCCTTGCTTGCTATGCCTCAACCTCCAGAAGCTACCTCTCAGAAGGATGTTTTGGCCTGGGCCCTTCCAGCTCAGTATCCCTGGAACCGATCTAGGTCAGCCCAATCCTAGAACATGAGCTTCTTGCCCAAAGTTTCCCTGCACAGTCACTGAACCTATTTCTCAGGCCTTGGCCTAGACATTGAATCTACAAAGCCTTCCTTGGGTAAAGAGTTAAAATGCAAGTGTGACTTTGACGTTCCCCATTCTATACTCCCTAAGGAACAGGCAGAGAATTGGGGTGGGAGGGTAGGGACACCTAGAACATGCTCCTGGTGCTTTGAGGTAAAATGTCATTTGTACCTTCTGACCCGAAAACATACCTTCCTCAGCCATTTGGAGGGAATCAATCCCCTCCCCCAACAGACACATCCCTCCAGCATTCAAAAATGGGGATAGCATAATATCAGCCTATGCTCCACCCCAAGCCACACCTTACTACTATTCAACTGAAGCCTTGGACAACTGCCAGGAACTCCTGGATACCAGCTGAAGAGAAGAAGGAAAGGAGGTACCTGGATAAGGGCAAAGTCCAACCAAAAGGGGACATTCATATCATACGGATCAGTCTAGGCACTAGGAGGGAGTGACTAATAATAACAATAATAATAGCATTTATATAGCACTAAATGCAATCTCATTTGATCCTCAGAACAACCCTGGGAAGTAAATGCTGTTATTCTCATTTTACAGATGAGAAAACAAAGGCAGACTGAGGTTGTGACTTGCCCAGGATCACACAGCTAGTAAGTGTTTAAGGTAGAATTTGAATTCAAATCTTCCTGACTCTAGGTCCAACATCCTATGCACTGTGCTACCTACCTACCTAAAAAGTGATCTGGCCTTCGAGAAAGCCAGGCAATATTGTCATTCATATGAGAACAAGATCCCAGACCTAGGAACAAATTATTAGGGGCTCTTATAGTATTCCCACCCATATCTGGAGTTCCAAAGTCCTAATTAAGGGCCTCAGCACTGGCCACAGTGAGGATAAAATACTAAATACCTGGATCTTCTCACAGAGGCTAGGTTTATACAATTCTCACTCTATACTAATATCACAATACCCTGGGACTCTGAATGAGGATCCACGTCCCACTCTGTAGGCAGAAAGGAGGCAAACAACCCATTCCCTGCTCCCAGTCCTTCTGAAGAGGTCAGGGCTAGAATTTGGGGACCTGAAAGGGGCATTATCAGAATCAGGGAACAGGGCCAGTCCACAGACTAAGTCTTAGAACCAGACAGTTGACCAGCAAGAATCTCAGAATCCCCTCATTTTATACATGAGAAAACTAAAGTGATCTGCCCAAGGTCACACAGTGAGTCAGCAGAAGAATCAGGGGTAAAACCCTGATAGCTCAGGGGTAGAATGTCCCAGGTTAAGTTCTTGGTTCTGAAATCTCTGATAACAGAATTGCCCCCTCCTTAGAGATTGCGTGGTATAGGTTCTAGCTCCCGTCAACCACTGGAGAACAGAAAGGTGCCAAAAGCAAGGTCCCATATACCTCAGGGATCACTCAGTGGTAACTGAATGGCACTTAGGGGGTCAGCTAAGAGTTGTTGCTACCAGGAATGGGGTCCCTAGGGCCTGGCCCCACAGCCAGACCTGCCAGCAGCTTGGCATTAATTAATCTCTCAGAGCCCTGTCTGTCAAGTCTCTAACAAGGAACAGATGGTGAGGCCCCACTGGGCACACTGAAACAATGGGAGCAGAGCCAGTGAAAGCGACTGTCTCTCCCCCTTCACCTTCCATCCAGGCTTCCCTCTCTAGAGCCCCCATGGCCTTCACCTTCTTTTTCCCAATTCCTTCCTTCTCCACCCACCTTCTTAGCCTCTCACTGCTTCTATCATTTCCCATCTATGCTTTTGGGAATCACCCATACCTAAGTCACTTTCTCCTGGTATTTTATAGGTACAGATCATGTATCCTCCTTTGCTCTGACCCTGTCAGGGCTGTTCTAGGGAAAGTTTCATTAGACCTGGTACTTTCTCATATGTAGGGAAGGTTAGTTCAACTCAATTTCCACCTCAGCATTTCTATATTCTGTTACAGGAACAGTAAGCATATGCCTTGGAAATACTCTTATCAAGGTGGCTCAAGGCATTAGGACACTATCTACCTGACAAAAAGGACCAAAGTCCTGAGACTTATCCATCATCAACCTTCTTACTGGGGAAATAGCAAGATTAGATATTTCTTGAGCTTCTCAAACATACAACATTATGTTCAGAACCTAAATACAGAGACTGATTCCTCTTTTAAAAAAATGGCTGGGCAGTAAGTCTGAGAGTGTATTTTTTGTTTATTTGTTTGTTTTAAGAGCTTCTGACCAGACTACAATTTGCCCTCTTAGGTGTTTGTAAGACCACTATAATTCCTTCCTGCCAGCCTAATGCAGACATTCTCCTTCCCTATCCTCCCTCACCTCCAACAAAAGTATCAATGATCTTTCCACAGAAAACCAAATAAATGTCAGTACAGAAACTCTCAGGAGCAATCCTATACCATCCCTATACACAACCCAGCCCTTATAAGCAGTTCTACAATAATAAACCAGTGTGAACAGCCCTGACTCCAGGAGAAACCCTACAATAACAAGCAACCATACAATACTAGTTTTATTCTGGGGTACGACATAATTCTTGGCCCAGTCCCATCCAGGTCCAATGAGAATTAGTATAAGAATCTGGAACCCTGGGGACTGAAAGGAAAGGAAAGAGAGAACAGATAAAGATGGAAACACAGAACAGAAGGGGGAGGAAATGAAGACAGAGGAACCAGCAATTATCACTAAACAAAAGAATGAAAGACAAAAAAAATCCAATAACAACAGGAGAAAAGAGAGAGGGGTGGTGAAAAGGAAATCCTTAGGAAAAAACCTCAAAATGAAGGGAAGAAAAAGAGAAGTCCTGAAATGTACATTTAAAAAAGGAGAAAAAAATGGGTCAAGAGACTAATGAAGTAGAGAGTGATGCAGAAAAGCAGAAGGTTCAGATCCTCAAGCACCAGAAATCTGAAGCCCAGGAGGAAAACCAGCACTGATGTGCTGTGTTAACTTGGGTGGTCGATTTTCCCATCTATTAAATGACAACTTACAAATTAAATACTTATTGAATCCCTCCTGCCCTCTCATAGGTGTACAGAGATCACAGGATCATAGATTTTGAGCAAGAAGAGCTGAAAGGGGTCATCTAGTTCCACCCTCTCGTTTTAAAGATGAGGAAATGGAGGCCAAAGCCTTTACCCAGGTAGAAAGGGCAAAGCTAAGATCTGAACTGTTTTAGATCCAGTGTTCTTTCCAATGGCCCATAGTGCCCTCCAAATGGCATGCAGCACAGTTAGAAAGTGCTTTAAACACTTTAGAGAAAAGATATTAGATATTATCAAATTTTTTTATAAAGCACCATTCTTCATACTTCCCACATCTCCTTTTTATTTTCTGGTAACATCTTGAAGTCTTAAAACACCTTTAATCACCCCAAAACTAAGCAGTTGTCATTTCTAGTTTGAACACAAGATGGTTCTGTATATAACTGTACAGAGCCATCATGTCACACAGGAAGTAAGTAATGGTCAATAATTTATCCAAAGCCGCACACGGACCCAGCTCCAGAGTGAAGAGCCCAGGACCTCTGATGATTCCAGCTAGAAAATCAAAGTAGGAAGCTCCAACAGCAGCAAAAAATGCAGATGCCTGCTGCATTGAGTCACAGCTGCCCCCTTCCCTTCCCCTCTGCTGAGGTACCGAAGGACTGTGGGGCTGAAAATCTCACTCTCCAAAAAGTTCCCTCTTCCCAGGGAAGAGCAGGTGCCGTAGTTACGGGAGTAGGAAAAACTCATCTGCTAACCAGCGTCTTTAGCTGAGCAACCCTGAAGAGGGTAGGAGGAGACCTCTCAGCCCCACCTGCCAGACATAAGCTCCTGTAGGGTACCACCCCCCACACCTGGATTCTGCCTGGAAACTCTGAAGCTTTGTCTCCTGAACCAAAGCCACTGGCTCAGGAAGGAGCCCTGTTAGTCAAGCTGAGACTTGGGCCTCTCTCCCCACCCCCACCTGCTGGACAGATCCGATCTTATCTGGACTTTATGGAAAGCACCACCTAGCTCTCCCCAGCAGGTCCCCACCCCAGACCACAGATCTTATCAGCATCTTTTCTCCAGCATCAGGAAAGTTAAGTTACCTATCCAGTTATCTGCTAGTCTAGTCCTCTCTGGGAGTGTGATTTTTATCAGGGTCTGCAACTAAGTCTGAGCAACCCACAGTCTCCACTGGAGAGATGCAACCTTAAAATAATGAGAGACTTAACAAAGGTGGCAAAGATCAAATGCCCATGATAATGCCAATCAATAGGAGAGTAGAACCCGGAAAGGAGGTGGAGAATGAGGAAATTAGAGCAATCAGCCCAAATCACCCACCATGCCAGCCGGCACAAGCCAAAAATGCTTTGGACTCAGTCAAGCCTTCCTCCTCCTAAGAGTGCCTGGACTCTAATTCTATCCTTTCCTAACTTTGTTTCTTGGCCTTTCAGAGATCCTGGCCAGGCCAGTGGGTGTCTTAGTAGATAATGTACTATATCTAGAATCAGGTAAGACCTGAGTTCAGATGCTGCCTCAGACACTAGCTATATGACCCTGGGCAAGTCACTTAATCTCTGTCAGCTCCATTTTCCTCTTCTGCAAAATGGGGATAATAATAGCACCTACCTCACAAAGTTATTGTGAGGATCAAATGACAATATATATCTCAAAGATAATGCATATCTCAGAGCAAAGCACTTTGCAAAACTTAAAGTGCTATATAAATGTTAGCCACTACTATTGTTAAGTAGAGACTGGAGCCTCAAATCTTTTTAGCGTGTATCTGGTTTTGTTACCTGGATTTGTACCTAATTCAGTGCCTTATGTAGAGCTCCTAGATTTCTTGGCAGGTGATAAATTCCATCCTGCACTAAAACTGGCAAACTTGTGACTCAAATACCACTCAGTCCAAGTAATCATGGGTTCAAAGCTGCCTCTGGTGCCCTCCACCCGGCAAGATCTCTGCCTAAGCAGAGTCCGGGCCTTGTCCTGCTCCCAGCCGCACCTCAGCCTGGGGTCTGTTTTGGTGAAGTCATACCTAATCCAGTTTGGTGGGGCTATAACAAAAGGAAAAATTCTGGGGCCAGATCTTCTGCCAATGGAGGGTGGGGGTAAAGGAGGAAGGTGGGCTTTTACAAGGAGTCTCCCAGCAGGGGGATAGGGTAGGCTATGCATACTGCCTTTGAATCAGTAAGGAAATTTTGAACCCCAGAAGATCTCATTGATGTTGCATTCTCAGGCAAGAAAAAAGAAACAAATTATATGGAGAGGCTAAGAAAAGAAGGGAGGATGCTGTTGGCCATAGCTGAGGTCTGTTCTGAAAAGGCAACTCAATTTACCCTTTGGTCTTTACTCCCAGACCTGATGATTCCTGTTGCCCTCTCTGGAGGGAGCCTATCTCTTCTTAATCACTGCAAGAAGCCTCAGTTTGAGCTCAAAGTGCTCTGATTCTCCCAACCCACTCCATTCAGGAACTGGAGAACTCAACTAGTCCATTGAATTTTTCTACAAGGCTGTCAGATCTCAACACCCCAGATCTCACTGTGAGATTAACATTCTATCAAGCACAAGTCTGTAAACGAACCCATTACCTTCTAACACATGGAAAAGTCATCATTCCTGAGGGCCCTCAAATCCGAACAGAAATTTGATATTTCTGTCATGACCCGGATTTCTGCCAAAAAGCCTATGCAACTGTAATCTCCAAGCACCTCAGTTAAGGTGGAGGGAGGATACTAAAAATCAAGAAAAGGATTGGGTCTCTGATCTCTCAAGTGCCTGGGACTCTAGACTTGGACCACCAGACATCTTCTGAGGTTCCTTCCCAACAGGAATCACTAAAAATTAGGGGTCAGAAGGTAAATAGGAAGAGAAAAATTGAAGAGGAAAAGGGAAGGGAATCATACTACAGGGGAACTGACAAGTTAACTGATGCTCCTTTGAAGAGGGAGAACAAATTTGGAAGGGAGAGTCTGACTCACTTTTAGAGCTATTTTTTGGGAAGAGGGGGCCCAGGAGGAAAAGTTGGTCATTGGGAGCAATGTTAATTAGAGGATGGGGGCAAAGAAAAGGAGCACAAAGATATAAACTTACTTTATGGGGAGGGGAGAAGGAGCTGCTAGGAATGACCAGCAAGCAAAGAGCTGGGAGTAGGAGAACCTAGAGCTAGCAGGTTAGCTCTTGCTCCTTTAGGGTGGGACACTCATTGGGGTGTCAGGGTCAAAGAAAATAGCAAGTAAAAGGTGGGGGTTGGAGGATGGAAGATGGCAACATCCTCAAAGCCTCAGTCCAGAAGAGAAGACACAGTTATAATGGATGGAGGGGAGGGGAGAGGCTGACAAGTTAGCTCAAGTGCTCCTAGGAGGTCTGACTAGAGGGGGGAGGGGCAAAAAAATCACGTTTGGGTGATTCATAGATTTAGACCTGGAAGGAGCCTCAGATACCATCTACTAGTCTAACCTTATTTTACAGAAGAGGAAACTGAGTCCCAGGAAAGTTGCATGAATTGTCTAAAGTTAAATTGGTAGCAGTATTTGAACTCAGATCCTCTTGAATCCTCCCACAGTACCCCAATGAATCCACAGGGCATAGATATAGTGGGGTCCGCTGTACTCCTGCCAAGCAGGTAAAAGTCAGTGGATGGCTGCCAAGGATAGTGGGGGTCCCCAAGGCCAAAGCCAAGCAGGACTGAAGTGGTCATAGCACCGGGGTGAGAGTATCTGTCAGATTAAACGCCTGCCCCTTTGGGACATGAGAGGCAATAGGGTAAAGATCAGAAAAAACATCAAAGTGTGTGGGAAGTGGGGGTTGGAAGAGGGCACAATGGCAGGGTCCCTAGCATTCCAACCCTGCAGAGGGGGGACAATCTGATGGGGGCCACCTGAGCCAAGGTCAGGGCCGGGGGAGGGCATAGCGACAGCTCCTTTGAGGAAAGGAGGGGGCACTAGGGAAGAAGGGGACTGGGGAAAGGGATGGAGAGAGGGGGTTCAGGAGAGGGGCGCTCTAGGAAAGGAGAACAGGGAAGAGGGCTTGGGGGAGGGGCGTAGAGAAAGTGGGCTTACGGGAGGGAGTGCAAGAGAGGGTTCAAAGACAGGAGCTCAAGGAGAGAATCGTCAATGGATTGAGGTTCTCGGGGAGAAGGATGGGGGAAGGGAGCCTGAGGGAGAGGGCGCTCTGGGAGGATATTCAGGGGAGAGGTTTTGGGGAGGGGGTTCGTGAGGATGTTCAGGGAACAGTGAGCATAGGGAGGGGATTCAGGAGAAGGAGTGCACAGAGAGGAGGCTCTAGAGAGGGAGTGCTTGAGAAGGAGGTTCAATGGAGAACTCCAGAGAGTAGGCTCAGGAGGGGGAGAGCACAGAGATAGGGCTCAGGGGAGGGGACTCGCGGGAAAAGGGCTCGGGGAGTGGCAGAGGGAGGGGGCTCAGGAGAGGGAGCGCACAGAAAGAGGACTCAAGAGAAGGGGGTTCTCGAGGTTCAGGGAAGGGGGCGCACAGGGAGGAGATTCAGGAAAGTGGTCTCAAGGGAGGAGGTTCGGGAGAGGGAGCTCACAGAGAGGGGACTCAAGGGAAGGGGTTCTCAAGGAGAAAGATCAGGGGTGGGGCGCACAGGGAGGAGATTCAGGAAAGTGGTCTCAAGGAAGGAGGTTCGGGAGAGGGAGCTCACAGAGAGGGGACTCAAGGGAAGGGGTTCTCAAGGAGAAAGATCAGGGGTGGGGGCACACAGGGAGGAGATTCAGGAGAGTGGTCTCAAGGGAGACGGCTCAAAAGGGAGAGAGAGAAGGGACTCAGTGGAGAAGGTTCAGGGGAGGGCCGCATGGGAAGGGGATTCAGGGAAGAGCGCGCACAGAGATGGGGCTGGGGGGGGTTCTGAAGGTTCAGGGGAGGGGGCGTACAGGGAGGAGATTCAGGAGAGTGCTCTCAAGAGAGCGGGCTCAAAAGGGGGAGACAGAGAAGGGACTTAGAGGAGGAGATTCAGGGGAGGGGGCGTACAGGGAGGAGGTTCAGTGGAGGAATCTCAAGGGAGGGGGCTCAGAAGAGGGAGGATACGGAGAGGGGGCTCGAGGAGAAGGATCAGGGGAGGGGATACACAGGAAGGAGGTTCAGTGGAGGAATCTCAAGGGACGAGGATCAAGAGAGGCAGCTCACAGAGAGGGGGCTCAGAGCAGGGGTTCTCCAGGAGGTTCAGGGAGGGGACTCCGAGGAGGGGGTCGCGCCTGGCAGCTGGCAAGGTGCCCCCTTCTCTCCACCCCGTCCCAGGGGTTCTCCCTCTCTCCCTCTCTCCCTCTCCCCTCCCTTCCCCACTCACCTCCGCGCTGCTCCCGCCCCGGCTCCCGCCCCGGCTCGCTGGGGCCGCAGTCCAGGCACATGCCCGCTTCATGGCGCTGCCCGCGGGCCCATCTGGGCAGCGGCGGGGGTGGCGGCGCCGGGCTGGGACTGGGAGGCGGCCGCTTGTCCGTCAGCCTGTCTGCCTCCCAGCCTCCCTGCCTGCGCCGGCTCCCTCCTTCCCCAGACGCAGCCGCCGCCGCGGCTCCCTAGGAACCGGCCCGCCCCGGCCTGGCCGCCGTATTTCTCCGAGCTGACGGGCCGTCACTTTCCCCGCTGGCGCTGCCTCCTTCCTTCCTCCTCCCCAATTCCCCTACGTATCGCCTCCTCAGCGCCCCCAGGTCCCCGCCTTGCCACCGCCCCAGCTTCCCACTCTGAGTCCCTGCTCCTTACCCAACCATCTCCTCAGTCCGCCCCCGGCTCTCTCAGCTTCCCTTGCAAATTTTCAGCCGCGCACGCCCTCCCCAGCAAAACGCCCGCCTCCTGGCCCCTCTGGTGCTCCATCACCTTCACCCCCCACCTAGGTCTTCCATCACCTCTTCAGGCAACCCCCACCTCCTCCAACGTCCTCCGAGGCGCTCCCAGTTATCCACACCCCAATACACATCTATCCTCAATTAAGCACCTAGTTCTTCACGCCGACTTCTCAGATCTAGCTCTCAGCCCCTCTCCATTGTTTCACTGCTCCTCAAACTTCCCTCATATCATTCACTGCCATATAAACAAACGTACTCCGACCTCATTCTTTCGCCGTCAACACTCCCCAGTCTTCAGAGTAGCCAGCCTAGTTCAGCCTCTCACGTTGTAACCTCTGCCCCTAATGCTCAGATTCACAACAAAAAAAGCCACTTTCTTGGTCCAACTTCTCACCCATCCAGTTCCCAGAGGTGAGAAGATTCCTCGTTTATTTGAATTTCAAATATGTTTGATTTGCATGACCCACCATAGACACAACCCATAAATACATCCCCTAAACCCAAATTCAATGCGAATTTTCAAATATTGTTAGGACTTCATTGAAGGACTTCAAAGATCCAACTTCCTTCCTTTAGTTTTAGGACACTTTCACCTACCTTGTCCCATCTGCTAGACTGAGTGAGGTGCTCTTAGATTTCTGCAGCCCCGGGTCTTAACCTTCCCCGGGATGTAGGGTATTTTGTGATGGTCATTCCCACTAGGGCAGGATAAGCACCAGGGTGATCCAACCAGGAACTTTGGTCGTTCAGCTCTGGGCTTTCGTAACAGAATTAACCAGTCAGAAACCAGGCAGCTAAGTTTGATAAGGGCTGGATTGTGATAGGTTACTTTGTCTTGTCACCCACCTTATTAGTTTGAAAGCCCCATACACAGGCCTCAGTCTCAGCCTTTTGACTTTCCCCATCTAAACTTTTCCCGTCTAAACTTGAACCCACCTGCTCTTCTTCAGACCTCAATGTCCAATCAGTAGAACTCCCACAGATTTGGTCTATTTTGGGAAAGTGTTTAAGCAAACCAGAAAGCACATTTTGACCAACAATAAAAAAAAATAAGCTATCAGAAAATTTTTTTTAAAAAGCACCTTCTCTAGAAAATTCTACCTAACCAATCCAATAATTAAGCACTCTGCCCTGTCCAGGACTGTGCTAGGCACTGAAAGTGTGACAATGAAGAAAGACATTCCCTACCCTCAAGGAGCTTACAATCTGTTAGGAACATAAGACTTGCACAAAAACACAATATAAAGTAAAGAATAATAAAGGCAAAAAAGGAGATCTGAAGTGACTCCAGGAAAATTAAGGTGGAAGGAAATCTCCTTTTCCTTTTCTGGTTTAGTTTTGCCATTCTGGACTACAGTTCTCAGAGTGTGGTCTTAGCATCCCAGCCAGACCCTTTCAAGGCACCCTGAAAGTCAAAATTATTTTCATAATAATACGAAGTAGTAGTACTATCTAATATAGTAAATCTCAATAGACATAAGAGAGCACATAAACAAAAGTTCTTTGGGATTCTTAATCATTTTTGAGTGTAAATGAGTCCTGAGACCAAAAACTTTGAGAATCATCACCATAGTGCCTCACTCAGGGCTAGACACATATTAGATGGGCTTTGAGACATTGGATAAAAGGGACAGACAACTTGGGATCGTTTTTATTTCTCAAGCACTGGATTAATAGTCCACAGAATTGTACCGTAGTCTCAATTCTATTTTTAACTAGAGGTATGACTTTGTAAATCATTTCACCACTTGAGCCCCAGTTTCCCCATCATGTGTTAGGTGGAGATTATATTAGGTGATCTCTAAGGTGTCTTTCAGCTCTAAAATTTATGAATGAATAAGTAGTCTTTTAGCCCCACTCCTGATCTTCCTTTCCTTCTTATTTCCTCTCCCTTCCCTCCTCCCCCAGCTTACTCCACAATGGGCAGTATGAGAAGGTTAAATCCAGGCAATCCTTAATTGGCTTCCAATTCATGGTCCAAAACAGGCCTGGCCCAGCTTTTCAAGCTATTATTACCAATGCTGAAGATCTCAGCCACCATTCAGCTCTGATCCGCCTGTACCCAGAGGGAATCTGGGGGAGGAAGAACCAGGCTATCAACACCACACCACCCTGACAGCAGCCCAGCTCTGGCATCCTGGCTCCCCATCTGTATGTACTTTATTAAATCCTTTAAGGATCCAAGCTTGTTTCAGTTAAGAAAGCTGCTGTCCCACTGGGGGGAGGGGCACTTCACTGGAAAAAACAGAGTACTACTCAGCCAGGGAAACTGCCCCTGGGCTAGAATCATCCCAACTGGAGCCTTTCTGCTCCGCAGGTCATTTTGGTTGAATTTTATTAAATTTGGTTTGTTGGTTTATTGAGCTTTCTGGGTCAGGGGACGCTATTTTGTTTTTCTCTCCTGAATAGTTTGGGGGCTTTTGGCTGCGCTTCATTAACTGGCAAACAGCTTAATTTCATTGGAAGGGAAATGAAATCCTGCAGCAATAGTGAGTAATGGGTGATGGTGGATCTCAGTGGTGGTAGATAGAATCTCAGTACTTTTCATAACCAATACACAAGAAGGGAACTAAATCTGATGGTACCTCATATTTTCATGCAACCTTTTATCCAGAAATTCCAAAACACTGCAGACATTATCTGCCTGGGATATTTTGTCACTCCATTTTACAGAACGGAACACAATATCTAGTGACAGATACTCCCAGTCCTGACAATTCCTGAGGGAACTGAGAGATCCACCAGAGAAATGCTATGGTCTGATGAAAAAACTTTTGAGTTAAGTTCTCTTCACTCTACCACTCTAGGTCTCAGTTTCCTCATCTGGAAACACATAAGCCATACAACTTTTGAAGGGAAAGAGATAATAGATAAGAAAGTGCTTTGAGAAGTTGAAATTGCTGTGCAGATAATAATATGCAATTATTAAAGGGGTGGCTGGTAGTGATTTCTTAGGAATCGATTGGATGGAGAAAACTGCTCAATAAATGGGTCCCATGGCTCCTTCACACATTTGTGTCTATTGATGTAAACAACTCCTTCCACAAGTGATCTGGGTGGGACACTGTGGCACTGAACTAGCCAGGGGTGCTAAGCAGTTTTAGATGCATTGATTGGGGGTAAGGTTGGGGGAGGAAAAAGTGTAAGGGAAGAAGGAGTATGTCTGCCACATAGAATGTAAGTTTCTCAAGGACAGGAACTGTTTCACTTTGTCTTTTTATCTGCAGCTCAGTGTATCTATCTGCACAGTGCCTCCCCACATAGTAGGCACTTAATAATAAATGCATGTTGATTGACTGGTTGAAGTAAGAAACTAACATAAGTAATTAACAAATACTAATAGCAAAAACTAATAATAGCTTTAGAAGTTTAGCCAAAGTTTTTGTTCTAGGGAGCTAAAAAGTATTTTAGACACAGTCATTCCATTCAATAAACACTTAAAAAGAGCCCTTTGGCATAGCAGATATCCTGCAGTTCTTGAAGTCAGGAAAGCCAGTGTTCAGATCCCACTTCTGACACTTACTGTGTGACCCTGGACAAGTGTCCACACTCATGTGTCTTGGGTGATTCCATAGGACTTATCTACATCACAGGTGGGTGATAATCTCTGTGTACGTACTCTTGTCTTAGATCATGTGTAGAGCATTGCGTTCAGTTCTGGATGCCATAGTTTAAGAAGGATATTGATAAGCAAGAGAGCAACCAAAGGAAGGACAACCAGGACTGTGAAAGGCCTTGAGTCTGTCATATAAAGAACCTTTTGGCAAAGAATTAGAAATTGAGGGCATGCCATCAATTGGGGAATAGCTGAGCAAGTTGTGGTATATGATTATGATGGAATATTACTGTGCTATAAGAAATGATGAGCAGGCAGATTTCAGAAAGACCTGGAACGACTTACATGAACTGATGTAAAGTGAAGCGAGCAGAATCAAGAGAACACTGTACACTGGAAGAGCAATATGGTGCAATGATCAACTGTGAATGGCTTAAGTTATTCTCAGCAATACAGTGATCCAAAACAATTCCAAAGGACTCATGATGCAAAATGCTATCCACCTCCAGAGAAAGAACTGCTGGAGTCTGAATGCAGATTGAAACATACTATTTTTTACTTTCTGTATTTTTTTATGGTTTTTTTTTCCCTTTGGGTCTGTGTCTTCTTTCACATGACTAATATGGTAATATGTTCTGCATGATTGAACATGTATAACCTATAACATATTACTGTCTTAGGGAGGGGGAAGGTGAAGGAAGGAGAGAGAAAATTGAGAACTCAAAATTTTTTAAAAAATGAATGTTAAAAATTGTTTTTTACATATAACTTGGGGGAAATATTATTTAAAAAAATAAAGAACCTTTGAAGGAACGAGGTGTGTTTAGCTTAGAGGAGACTCTGAGTAGCCATGATAACTGTCTTCAAATATTTGAAGGGCTCATATATGGAAGAGAAATGAGACTTCTTCTATTTGGCCCCAAAGGGCAAAACTAGAAGTAATGAGCGAAAGTTTTAAAGAGGCACCTTTAGGCTTGATTTCAGCATAAACTTCCTTACAGTAAGAGCTGGCCACATGTAGAATGGATTGCCTCTGGAGGCAATGGGATTTCTCTCATTGGAGGTCTTCAAGCGGAGGCTATCAGATATATTACAAGAGGGATATTTTTAGGGCATGGGCTAGATTGGATGGCCACTGACATCCCTTCCAACTCTAAATTCTGTGATTCTGAGATTGGGACCTGCTTTGCAGAGTTCCCATACCACTGACTTAATCATGGATTCTCTAACTGTGCTCACTGGAGTACAAGGCATTCCGCTAGGTGAAAAATGACCAAGACCCTGCTCTCCAGGACCTTACAATATCCAAACACAGTGGGGTAGCACATATATAGTCTGAACTTTCACTCTAGTCTCCCCTTCTCTCCCTGGTCCCCTCACTGTCGGATCACGTCTCCAGAACCAGGCTGCTTCTCCATTTTGGGATTCCAACTCTAGGTGTTGTAAGGGTTCTCTCTCACGACCAATGTGTTCCTTCCAACATCAATTGCCAGTTACCCAATATCATTCAGCTTGTGATTACTACCCCCAGCAGCAATCAACCAGTTATCTCTTTAATACCACTGAAAACCAGTTAATATTAACCTTTATAGAGGAATATTTACTAAGAAGATACAGCAAGATCTGAAGTACAAAAAAACTCCTGAAGCTGGGCCCCCATTCTCCTCTACCATCTTGGGCTTTGGGAAGAGTGGACTCAAACTTAAAGTGGTAACTCCCAAATATTCACCCTACTAGGTTCACTTCTTGGTACAGCATAGCTGATAGATGAGTCATTCCTCTGTTTACAGCACACTGTATCTTGGCTGCCAGGTGGGCTAGGTTAAGCAGGTCTGCCTTTATGGCTGGCTCCTCCCAGGGCTTGGCTGCCCTGGATATTGTCAAACTCTGCTATGGATTCCTAGACCTCTGGTGACTCTTCAGACATTTTAAAGCGCAGGAGATCATGGGGACTGGCCGATACGGGCCCAGTCCTTGGGACACGCTTAGCATGCCCTGCTTGCTGCTAACCCACATGGGGGCTTGTTGAACCTGCTCCAGGAAATACCTGATGGAGGGGTCCTACTCCTCACTTCAGAGCACATACAGGTATTCTATGACTGTTTCCTTCTGGCCTACTGTGTGGTGACAAAAAGCCTTGTAATTGACTACTTAGTGGGAAGTTAATGTGAACACAAAAGGCTAAAAAAGATGAAACCTCTCTCTCTCTCTCTCTCTCTCTCTCTCTCTCTCTCTCTCTGTTGCTCTGTTTCTGTCTCTTTTCTCTGTCTCTCTCTTTCTCTTATCTCTGGCTCTGTCACTGTCTCTGTTCCTTCTCTGTCTCCTTCTCTCTGTCTCTCTGTCTCTGTCTCTCCCTCACTCTTACTTTGTCTCTGTCTCTCTTCTTTTAAGAAGTGAACTCCTGTAGACCCTCTCCCTTCCATGGTTGCTTTGTAACCATGAACACTTGTCACTGTTGTTTTTCTATCTCTGTTAGGTTTTATTCTTTCAAACTCTTAGGTAAATTAGTATTGGAGATGGAAAGGACCAAATGATGACATTGTGAGCTTCAAAAATGATTGAGGAAGAGGGAGACAAAAGGCTACATGTCCTACAGTGGGATACTTGGAGTGGGTCCCATACTTTACTGAGCGAAGTGAAACTTGTTGAAATGAAGTAGCAGTTCCTGATTGGTCACCAATGACAGGTGTTGTGTCAGAGATGTTTGGCCACAGGGTCAAGAGGAGCCATCTACTCAACAGGCTATAAGAGAAGTTGAAGAAATACAGTTCTATCCTTCTCTTTAGGCACTTTCTAGCATGTTGTCTCCCTTGGACTTCTAGCAAGAAAGAAGAATTTCTCTTTCTTCCCTCCATTCCCACCACAGTCAATGGAGGCTGCAAGTACATAGCAATGAGCCTGAGTCCTTGGCCATCTTTTTCTGCTTTCTGCTTTCTTCCCTGAGCATATGCCAGCAACCAGTAGTACTCAGAAATGGACATTACCAGTCCTGCTGGCAACCTCATGAGTTTGACACAACCCTTTTTTTTTTTTAAAGGTGAGGCAATCAGGATTAAGTGACTTGCCCAGGGTCACATAGCTAGTAAGTGTCAAGTGTCTGAGGCTGGATTTGAACTCAGGTCTTCCTGACTCCAAGGCCAGAGCTCTATCCAATGCACCACCTAAGGGCTGCCCCTAACCTCATGAGTTTAAGAGATGGAAGCTGGGTGCAGGCTTCACAGTGGGAGAAATTCCTTAAACAGCACTGGACCTTAGAAGAAGAGAAGCATGACCAGAAGAATGTTGCTACTCTTGAAAGAACTAGGGGGAAAAATAAGGTAGAAAGGACTCCCAAAACCCATGCCATATCCTGGCTGTCCAGAAGTTCTGAACCCTGTGAATTACTTAGACAATGGAGTTCTGAGGTGAAAGAAAAATATCCTAAACAACTGTTCAGCAGTATCACAAAGTTGTCTTTACCTTTTAGCAGAGTATAATGTGCATGATGGGTGATTATTTTATGTTTTTGAATTTTTAATGAGTGCTTATGAGTCCTTTGTTTTTTAAGCATTTTCTGTGATGGAAGAAATAAAGTCCTCTCCTATGCTTGATATCCATACTGTGTAGCGAGTACCTTTTCTGGAAGTGATTCTATTAACCACTTATTGGGGAGACCCTAGACATGAGCTACACCTGAACTTTGTTTTTGAGATTTCCTTGGAGATAGAATCTGAAGATGGGGACAATGAGCTAGAGACACACAAGTCTCATCTCAGTTCTTTGAGAGCAAAACTCTTCCCCTACCCTCCTCCCATGAATTTGGTCCATATGAACCTACAGCCAAACCCTTTGTGGAAGGGGGTCCCCTGGACCTTGGACCATATCTTAAGGACCAGGACCTCAGGGGTTGATGGCCAACAACACCAAGTTCTTAATCCTTTTCTTGAAGTGCCACTCATCTTTGGGGTTCATCTGAGTTCTATTTCTTTTTGAGGTAATCTACTTGTCACTAGGTATCAGGGATCCTTTCTCCCCACTGGGCTCCTGCTCGGGAGTCATGCTTGGACTTTCTTAGTTCTTTTAGCTGCCACATCCTTCTGATAGTGGTGCTACTTCTCTCCCAGGAAATGCTACTATTGCAGATATCTCTTCTGTCTGGGCAGTTGGCTCAGAAGGCCAACTCAACTCAAAAAGCCTTGACCTCATGAGCTCACAGGGTAACCACCGGGGCTAAAGAATGATCATTTCTCAGGAACTCAGCATTGCCAGCCAATGCTCAAGAAAGAAAACAGAAAGAAGAGGGCCAAGGACTCCATTTACGCATTCTTACTGCTGTGTTTGATGCCTTCATTTCACAGGCCCACTTCTAAGTGGGGAAGGGAGGGAAAAGAAATCCACCACTATTACCCTTGCTGGAAGTCAAAGGAAGACCAGTCTCAAAAGAGGTAGAAATGGCTTTCCTCCACTTCTGTTACATCTCACCAAAGAGCTCGTCCTGATGCTACTGTGGCCAAACACCTCTGACACAGCCCCCATCCTTGGCAACAAATCATGAGATTCTATGTCGTTTCACCAAGGCACATGTCACTCAGCAAAGAGCCGGAGCAAACGTTGCACTACAAGGTCCTTCCTGTTACATATTTTACACAAAGTGGAAAGCATAAAAGGGGGAGAGATCCAAAATGTTCTCAGAAAACTTGAGGACGGAGTGATAAACTTGTCCATCCTTTCCATCCTCCTCTCCTAACTAGGTCAAATGTGTCATTTTATCAATTTTAGCTGCCACATCCGTCTGATAGTGGTGCCCCTTCTCTTCCAGGAAATGCTACTGTTGCAGATATCTCTTCTACCCGGGCAGTTGGCCCCCAACCCCAAAACCCTTGACCTCATGAGCTCATCAGGGCTAGAAATGACCATTTCTCAGGAATTCAGCATTGCCGGCCAATGCTCAAGAAAGAAAGCTTAAAATGCACTAAGACTTTTGGGATACCCGATATAGATGGGTAAACTGAGGCCAGGAATGAAGCAACAGTTAGCATTCACACTACAGCTCCCTGGGAGAGCCAGACCCTCAGAACATTCTCCCCACTCAACAGACTAACACTGCCATAAGCTGGACTCTTCAAAAGGGCAAAGAGCTGACAGAGACTTTTCAAACATAATAACTGTTCCGACTTTCCCATTCATTCACGTTCACAGTCATGGAGGGATGGGAGGACATTTTATCACAAGTGAAAAGACCTGATGGCAAGGCGAGATAAAATCTGGTGCCACATGGATTTCCCCAGAGTTGTTGCCTGATAGAACTGAAGCCCCCAGATTAGTAAGAGTCACTGGGGCATTGTGTCTGTTTTAAAACTGTGCTTATACTCTTTCTACAATTCCCATCAGATCCTAGCCCTGTACCTGGCACATAATAGGCTCTTAATAAATACTTGTTGATTGAAAAATAAAATAAAAGTGTGCATATAAGACTTGCCTCTGCTGATACCAGCCAGAGTAAAGTCATGGGACCTTTCTCTGGTCACCATGTAAGGGTGGGGGAAGGTGCACAGGTCTGTATTATGTGTATTGTTATTCCCATTTTTCAGATGAAGAAGGAAACTGAGGTGCAGAGAAGACAAATGACTTTGCTAAGGCCACATAGCTAATAAGTGTCAGAGCCAGTATTAAACTTCTAAGCCCTGTGCTCTTTCCATTACACGACCCAAAATATTCTACCTTCCTTCCCTCCTTCAGTTTAGACTATGACAGAAACTCTTTGATTTTGGAAGAACGTGAAAGGAGGAAAGGAAAGTTAAGGGAGGCCTCTGGCTCCCTCTCTTTTCCCTTTGGATGAGGGCCCTAGGATTACATTCTCACTGGCTTATAGCCCATGCCTGTGTGTCATTGTCTTCTCTTAACTTCTACCTAGCCTGGTCTGTCTCACTGGGTGTTGTATATAACACAATAATATTTCTGACAAGCAGGTGACCAGGACAGGCAGACCAGCACTTAGAAGTCAAAAAGGGCCACCCCACCCCCCATATGCAAGGAGTTCACATGTCTGCCTGTTCCTCCTCTTTTCCTTTGACCTTTCACCTCATAAGCTTTTCTTTAAGTAGGACAAACTAACTAGGCTGTGGAGGCTGAGAGGTCAGATCCCAAGATCTGATGGCTATGGGATATCCCCAAAGGGTCTCCCTTGCTTTTCCCATCCTCCACCTGATCCTATTGTCCTTGGCCTTAGACTTGTCTGTCTGGGGGGAGATGCCTCAGAGAGGAGTTGGCTGGGAATCCTCAAACTTTTCCACTCCCATTGGCATCCTAAGTCACCCTTCTCACTCTCAGCTCCTTCAGGCAAAACTAAACAATTACATTTTATTTTCCCCAGGGTTCAAAATCAGAATAATGGAGCATATGCCCAGAGAGCCATGGGTTAACCTGCACTTCCAACATTGTTGGTGATTGTAAGTATATTTACATACTTTTTATATTTTTGATGATTTTGTTGGGCTGTGGGTTAGAGCAATAGAAACAGCATTTTGTAGGGGAAGGCTCAATGGATTTGTAGTTGGAGAATCTGGGTTTGAATCTGACACACTCCTTTGGCAAGTCCTTTAACCTCTGTGGACCTCAGTTTTCTCATCTGGAAAAAGGCAACTGGACTAGTTGATTTTTAAGATCTCCTTTAGCTCTAAATCTATGCTCCTATGGCCTGTGACTTCCTACAAAAGCTGCCTAGTGGCCTGACATTGAGAAATAACTCTCTTTGGGTGAGGTGTCAGGGGTGTGTAGAGCCAGCTCTTGAGTTGTTCAATTTTCAATGACAGCATTTATACTTTAAAAAATGAGCAAATGCTATAAATCAGGACTTGATTTATTGTTCTGTTGATTGTTTAGTCTTAAGAAAGTTATGGAGAAAATGTCAATAAGGCAAATTAAACTTAAATGTATATTGTATTTTTCAGACAGCTGGTTGTTAAATATTTACCCGGTTATATTATAGAAGATTAATCTTATTTGTCATAGAATTTAGAGCTCAAAGGATCTTCAAAAAAATCTAAATCTTTGTTTTTCAGGGGAGAAAACTATGCTTTTCTCTCCAATCTGTAGTCCACTCAGCTGCCAAAATAATCTTCCTAAAAGCCTAGGCCTGTCCCCACCCTACTCAAATATTTCCAGTTCCCTTGTTGCTGAAAGGCTTTTAACTACAAACTCCTCAGCCTGGCATTAAAGGCCCTTTGTCATCTGGCTCCTGCTCGCCTTCCCGGTCTTATTTCATACTTCTTCCCTTCTTAAACCCACCCAGCTAGCCAAATGAGACTACCAGCTATGTCCTGACCTCCGTACTGCATCTCCTGCCTCCGTGGGCTTATACAAACCACTGCCCACACCTGGAAAGAATGCCCCTCGAATTTCTGCCTCTCAAAAATATCAGTCATCTCCACCGTTTTGGTTTTTTTCCTTCAAAGCTCCGCTGAGGTGCCACCACTTCCCTCAAAGGTTTACCCACCCCAGTTGGTCGTGTTTGGAAGAAGGCTTCCCCAGTCCTTAATTTCAGTGCCTTCTTTCGGAGAGTGCCCCCAATCCATCCCGTATGCCTCTTGTCTGTACAATTATTTGCATGTTGTTTGTCCCGCTAAACTGTGGGTCCTTTGAGAGCATGGACTGTTTTTTGCCTTTCTTTATATTCCCAGAGATGAGCACAGTGCCTGGCGCACAGCAGGTGCTTAATAACTTATTATTGGTGGAGGCTTTACTCCTTCCTCAAATTAATAACTGTGGTGTTATTTATTATTATTATTATTATTGTTATTTGGCTAGGCAATGGGGTTAAGTGACTTGCCCGGAGTCACACAGCTAATGTCAAGTATCTGAGGCCACATTTGAACCTCAGGTCCTCCAGTGCTGTATTCACTGTGCCACCGAGCTGCCCCAGGCATAGTTATTTGTATACACATTGTGGCCCTCTCTTTTCTGTATAATGGAAGCTCCTTGAGGACAGAGGCCTTGTTTTTGTATCCCTAGTGTCTAGAACAGTGCCCTGGACATACCTAGGTACATGATTGGTATTTGTTGAATTGAAGTTATTTGCCCAAGGTCACTCCAAGTTAGGTAGTTAGTGGCCAGAAGGAAGACTTAAATGCAATTCCCCTGATTCCAAATCCAGGGCTCTTTCCATTACGATTTATTGCTTCCTGGCCAGTCTAATGCTAGCCATCCTTCAAGGCCTATTTCCCCTGTGAAGTCTTCCCTAGTACCCTTAGTCCATAGTAATCTCTTCTGCCTCTGAATTCCAATGGCACTCCCACTTATCCTACTCATTTGGCACTTATCTTGAGATTCCTGGTATCAAAAGACGCCTTATTAACTTTTTTGTGTGTGCACTTTTCTTATTTCTTCGGCTAGCCTGTAAGTAAGCTCTCTGAGGACAGGTACCCATCTTACACTTTCTTATAGCCTCTTGAGGGATCTTTTACAGCGCTAGGTGCAAAGTAATCACCAAGTAAATATTTGTTACTTGTCTAGGGAGCAGGAAGTAGTATAGACTGTATGTTCATATATTAAATGAATGTTCTTTCCATCCTTTTTTGACTCATTCTTTCAACAGATATTTATTGCCTTACTGTGTATGCCCAGAACCATGCTAGGCACTGCAAATTGTATGTATGCAAATCAGTATTTTAGTATGCACCAATAATTTGCTAGGACTGAAACGCTGTCTCTGACATTAGATAAAGGCCTCTGGTCCATTGTTTTCCCATGGCACCTCCCTGCTGATGCCAATGTTAATGCCAGAATTCTCTTAATTACAGTAGTCTCCTTGATCCTGTTCGGTAATCTCCTTCTTCTGACAGTTGCGCCCTCTTTCATCCCAGGCAATGCCACTATCCTGGAGGCCAACTTCCCTCCTACTTCCCTTTCCCCTCCTCCTCCTCCCTCATGAGCTCCAGGAATCTTGTGCTTGGCCTGTGCCATCTTCCTCTGACATTCTCATCTCAGCTATACCAGCTCTGCCAGGATCTTCTAGCTACCCTCTCCAGACTAATCACTTGGGTCATAGCTGCTGGCACTAATCTGTCAAATTTCTGGGCTCCTCATGACTCCTATTGGGGGAGGAGGCATACCTGCAATCCCAATTCTAATCCTATGCATGCCTCTGTATATGCCCTGCCACCTCTCCAGTGACTGCATTCCAGGTCTCAGCTTCTAACAGGGAGTGTGATAGATCTGACTGGCATCTGGCCAAATCACTCCCCATATGCTCCCTGATTCCTCTGCTCTCGATGAGGCAGGTCATTGCCAGGACAGCCAAAACAAGGGGTGGGGGGAGCTACTGTTTACCCTAGAGTAAGCCAACATTATCAGGAGGGCTGGGGAGTTGGGGAGGTGAGAGAGGGACTGGAAGTCTGGAGCAGAGGCTGAAAAGTGAGTTAAGGTACTTATCCTTATGAATTTGCTCCGTCTCTCCAAGGAAAGCTGTCCCACTGTACAAAGGGGCTTAATTCCTTTTCAAGAATGTGCCAAGTAGTGGCAGCAGAAAGAAGGAAAGCAAGAGGGAAAGGGAGATCAGGAAGGAAAGATGGATGGATGGTGAGTGAGGGGTTAGGGAGGGGGCACGGGGTCAGCTTAACCTCTCCCACTGGACCCATTGCACTGCTGCTGGCTCGGACACTCCTGGGGCCTCTGTTTAGGCAGCCTGTCATGCTAATAGAGATGGATGAGGCGGCAGAGGGAAAAGAAACAGATACTGGCTGCTCCTCCTCCAATAGATCCTCTGACAGGCATTCATTCCCAGGATGGTGTCTGCCCTCATGCCTGCTTTCCTCCCTCCCACCCCCCACTTCCTGGTAAAGCAGGACTTCCTTGGGAGGTGTCCCCTCAGGAAGTGGGGCCATGCCCCAGACTTCTGCCTAACGCCTTTTTAGCTATCCCTAGTAGTGTCGGAATTGTTCAGTTGCAGCCTGGGAACCCAGAAGCTTCCATTAGTAGGTTATATTGGGTGAGGATTTCTAACCCTCTGGACCCTATTTTGTATCATTTGCAATTTGGAATGTGTAGGAAGCTGACTTATTTATTCCAGATCGGTCAGAGATTGTACAAATGGTCATCGACTGTGAGAACCGGAAAGGACTTCAGAGATCATCTAGTCCAAGGTCTAGATTTTTTTTACAGAGGAGGTTAACAGGCTCAGAAAGGAGCAGTGACTTGCTCAAGGTCAAGCTATGCCTACAATGAGTCTTACAACTTCCATTCAAATCCTTTCCCCAAGATAACATGCTGTTTTACTAGAACCAAAGAGTTATAACCATGCCTTAGCCTAGGGTTGAGGAGCCTGTTGGCCACATGTGGCCAAATTTAGAAGTTTAGATTCTGTCAAAGGGCCGCACTTGAGGACCTAAAGGGCCACGTGTGACCTCGAGGTCACAGGTTCCCCACCCCTATCCAATACCTTCCTATTGTCCTTCCCATTAAGCTTAGGGAAATGGTTTCCACAGACTGTATCTGTGCTGACCTGTCCAAGCTTCTGGCTGGGAGATGATCTTGGGTAGGTGCCAGGAAATCCTTCTCTTCACCAAATGGGAGAGCCCCACCCCATCCTTTTGTCCTGAAAGTTGGTGCAAGGTTTAAGTTCAGTGAAAACATCACCTATTCCCTATGCATATAACCACCTCCCCTCACTCTGATATCTGCAACTGGCTCCCTTGCTTCATGGTCATCAAATTCATTGTGTGGCCAGTTCCTCTCCTCCATCCGGATTTGATCATCCATAAAAAAATTAATGTTCACTGCAAATAAAAAAACACACACAACGGAGGAAGGCTTTTTAGGCAATCAATTAAAAGCCTGAGAGAGAGGGATTATCTCACTGAAATATCAATTTTTAATAACACTGCATCTTTCAGCTCCTCTAGAAAAACTTTCCCCATTTTATTTCCCTGGTTTATGGTGCTTCTTCTACCCATACACTATATAACGGTCAAAGACATTCCCCAGGATAGCTCTTGGCAGAGTCTGGGGCAAGAGTCAAATGGTTTTCTCGGCCAAGAGAGTTCAGCTCTCTTCTCTACTGCCTCGAGGTGTGGTGACCCAGGCCCAGGACTGGAACCTTCTTGTTGGGTTCAGTGTGTCCTTGGGCAAATCATTTCCACTTGTCTTTGCCTATTTCTGTACTTACCAGGGAAATGTGGGGAAGCTGGAAACAGTCCAGAGAAGGATGGAATTGATCAGAGGTTGGAAAAAAGGACCCTGGAGGAAAGGTGAAAGAAATTGGGATGATTTAACCTAAAGAATAAAAAACCCAATGTTACTTGAAAGCAAGCTTCAGAATCTCTTAATTAACAACTACTGAGCTCCTACTATGTGCAATCAAGTGTTATATATGTGTCATAGTGTTTACAAACGATAGCGTGTAGTGTGCCCTTTCCTCCCAGTGGAATGTAAGCAGGAACTTTCTTAGTTTTGTATTTTTATTCCAAGAACCTAACAGGCAGCTATGTGACACAGAAGAGGCACTTAATAAAAGCTTGTCAATTCATGGATTGGTCAACTGTGTCCAATCCTTATGGGAAATTCAGTGACCTCCCTGCTTTCTCTTTTCATTGAGGAGCAAAGAAAAAATGAGTCTAGAATGAAGCTTGAGACCCCATAAGTGATAAGAAAATGTTGAAAGACCCTGAGGATTCACCCTCCTTTCTGCAATAACTATCAGAAAGGCCTTCTTGACTGCCAGGGAGTTGTGACAGTGAAATTAGTGAGCAGCACAGGGGATGGTATAGAATTTCTTTTGCAGGGGTCATTTAAAGTAAGATAGCCTCTTCTTATTGAGAAGACAGTATGGCTTAGGAGATACAGGGATGTACTTTGACCCAGGCAGAGGACTCTGTGATTAAGGGCAAGAGTGCTACTGACCAAACTCACAAGCATGGTCTGCCTGCAAATTAAATTTAGCTCTTTCTTTGAGTGCCGTAGTGTCACACACAGGAAAAGAGGAAGTCATGAGGTTTGTTCTAAGCAATTGCCAGTGTTTTCCTGATAGATGAATCAAGAATAGCCCAACCCTTAGATGTGTTTCACAGATGGTAGCTCCACCTTCTCCATTGGGAGAAACATTCTGAACATATCAGCTGCTGTCTAGAGAAGGAACCTCCAATACTCTGGGGCCAGGAAGCTTAGGGATCTGTTTTTGTTACTGCCTCAGTTTTTATCTTCTAGGGACTTGAGGAAGAAGAGCCTGAAGCAACTGAGATGTTCCCATGAATTTTTGGGTAGAAGTTTCTTCAAGTTTCTGCCCCCTTATCACTACTACCCCTCCACTGCCTCCAACAAACTCAGAGCCATGGGGAAAACCCAAGAGCAGGGCCCTGGATGGGACCTTCACTCCCAGGATTTGACCTGACTGACTCTGAGTATAACCTTGGACCTTAGTTTGCCTACTTTGGGGGTGAGGTCAGAGTGGTGGTCATAAAAATCTGACTCATATTAAAATTCATAAGATTAAAAAAATTCATAAACTCTTGTCTGTTGAGGCCAAGATGATCTACAAACCTAGATATCTTTAACTATCTTTTCCCCACCCTCAGCCCCTTCCTCCTCAGGGCCATCTCAGTGGTAGCTGCTTTTCAGGCAGGAAGAATGATTCATGAAGGTGTTTTGCTGGGAGGCAGTCAGAAAGCTCCCAGCTCAACATCTTTCTCTCTTGGGAAGAGTCTGGTATCAGTGCAGAGGTGCTAGTGAGAATGCTTGCTATGTGCACATCTCTTTCTTTCTCCCACTCATATTTCACACATTTCCTTTCTGATTCCTTTACTTTTCCCTTTTCACTCCTTCTCTCTTGCCTATAAGCTAAGCTAGCTAGAGACTTGGTATACAGTATTGCTCTGTCTCAGATAAGCCTCTCAATCAGAGGGTGGAAAGGTTGGAGTGCCCTGCCCTGAGGTATTGATTTGGGGGCCCAAAGAGGGACGGCAGCCACTTCCCCTGTAGGACAGTTCAGGGCTGGGCAGAGTAGTGGGAAAGGCTGTTCTGGAAGGAGACCCATGATCAGCCCCAGGGGATAGCTGGGGGGTGGGAGGAAGGGGGAACCAGCAGAACAAGTAGGTTTGGTTCAACTCAGCAACTTTCCCTTCTTCTCTCCACCCCCCCCAACTGCACACACACCCCAGGGTGGTAGGAGGAGCTCATAGACATGTTGTCTTGGCATCTAATGTCCTTTTTCCTCGGGGGGTGCTAGCCTTGAAGGAGGAAAAACCTTTAAGGGATTTCCTCCTCTCCCCACCACCAGCCCTTCAGTGCACCAAGCCCCCAGACTTGAAGGGTGATGGGCAGAGCTGGGGGAGGGGAAGCAGCTGGCATCTCACAACCTTGCAATTAACAGCCAGCAAGGAGCCAGCCTGGCTTGGGAACAGCAGCTGGCTCTCTGGGCCCTGTTGGCCTCCCTCCCCCATGTGCTTACCACTTCTTCAAACACGTGATCTTTTCTCCTCCACATAGTTATAAGGCCTCTAAGCCAGATGGGTAGTTAATTCACCTATTCATCAAGGATAGACTAGGACAAGTTTCAGAACCCCTAAGGGAGACTGGAGTGGGGGATGAGACTAAGGCTAGACAGCACAGGTTATCACAAAAAAAGATACAGTCTCCTGGGTTAATGCTGGTCTTGGATCAGAGGCAGTATTTTGCTATAGGGAGAACACTTTAATTAGATCCCTTGTAACAAGGACCTCTGGGCAAGTCAGCTCCTAAGCTCCCTAACTCAGGCACTTTTGCCTGGGGCCCTGTATTTCTTACTTTACCTATGAGATCTTGGGCTCAACAGGCCAAGAGCTTCAAGTTTGGAGGGAAAGGAGGAAGCACAGAGTAACTGGGGTATACCTGGAAGGGCCTTTCATTCTCAAGTCCAGCCACCTGATTTTGCAGATCAGCAGTTAAGTGCCTTGAATGAAATCTAGCCTCAGCCCATCAAATTTCCAGAAGACTGGATTGGGAGGCAAGCAGAGAAACAGACATAATGGGAAGGAGGGCAGGACTACAGGGGAAGTGGTCCAATGAGAGGAAAGTCTCTCCTTAAAATTGATAATAATAATAATGATCATAATAATGGCTAGCCTCTATAGAGTACCTACTATGTGTCAGGCACAGCTAGGTGCTTTACAAATATTGTCATTTGACCCTCACAACAACCCTGGGAGGTGGGTGCTATCATTATCCCCACTTTATAGTTTATAAAACTGAGGCAGACAGAAGTTAAGTGACTTACTTGCCCAGGGTCACACACCTAGGATCTGATGGAGGATTTGAACTTGGGTCCTCCTGACTCCAAGCCCTAAACTATATCTTCTTTGCCACCTGGCTGCCCTAATTTGTTCAAAACAAATGGGGTCATTGATCCCTTCATTCCTCTCATCTCTAGCCCTGACAATGCTCTGCCTTCAAATCTCAAGATTGAAGGAATTGTGGGCTCTCTGGCTCCTTAACAACAGGTATTGTTGACTTTCTTTGTGCTCAACACAGTGCCTGGCACATAGTAGCCAGTTAACTGACTGACTTTAAGTGGCAAAGTCTTCTAGAAGGATAACTCAGTGAAGTATTCCTTGAAGCCTCTCAGAAAGCTGTGAGTCTAGTCTGGGGGTAGAGGCAGCAGAGGGAGGGTAGACAGAGCCCTTCTTTTCTCTCCCTACCCAGAAGCCAGTGGGGGTTGGACAAGATGTGCCTTCCAGTTTTAACTTCTGTCACTCCCCCTCTCTGGGTCTCAGTTTATCCATCCACAAAATGTAGGGGGATGGAGGTGATCTCTATGGTCTTTTCTAGTTCCAGATCCCTGTGTATCTATGCTCTATCAGGTCCTTAGGAGCGTTCACTGTATATCCCCATCTTTTTTTTGTGTATCCCCATCTTAATGGGAGTGGGAGAAAAGAGATCAGTCCAGGGACTCCATTGAAGGAGACCAGTCAGGGTGCTAGAAGAGAAACAAACAGGGGAAATGGAAAGATGGTGGACAAACTCTGAAGATGCCCTCATTTGGCTGAGGGCTGCCCCGGTATAGAGAAAGCCAAAAGGCATCAGGTGAGGACCTGGCACGGGCTTCTCTCTCTGTCCCAACTGGAAAAAGTTGGTCCATTCTCTGATTTTAACACTCCTCCTTTCCTCTTTCCCTCTCCCTCCCTTCTCTGGCAAAAGAAGAGCTCTGTTATCAAGAGGTGATTGCTACCCTTCCTTGCTGCTGCTGCTACCTTGAAGAGCTCTCTGAATCATGATCATTTCAGTCTCCCTCCCCTGTAGTAATGGGGCCATTCCCAACTCTTCTACACATGGAGACAGGAATGGCACGTGTATGTAGGGCAGGCAGTTGGGGTGGAGGGAGGAAAATGGAGGGGGTGGTGTCGGTGGGCAGTAAGAGGTTTTCTCGATAGGAGATAGGAAATCCTAGGGCTGGGCCAAGGGCAAAATTGTGAAATTAGTCAAAAGTGATGCTATTGCAGTGGCTGGCTTATTTGTCATGAGGTCTGGAGAGCTGGCTGTTACACAGAGCTGGACCACTGGCTCTGAAACTTTCTTTAGGTAAGTCATTTCCCTTAGGCAGTTTCCCTGTCTGTACAAGGCTTGGACTAGATCCCTTCCATCTTGTCATCCTTTTCATCTATTCCCCTCCCTGCCATCCTTGAATCCAACCCACCTCTTTCAACCCCCAAGGAATCTTCCCTGGGTTCCAGTGGGGGAAGTCTTGTCCTCACCTAGCTGTCCCATTGAGGTAGCAAGTGCACTGGCATTTAGGGTTAGGATTACTTCTTGCAGGAACATTTTCATTTTTATAGGAAATACTTGAAGCCAAAGAAACCCAAAAGAAAGAATCTACTACAGAGGAATGTCAGTTGATGGTGATTGTTGGGAGTGGTGGGATATGGAGGGGGGGCTGGGAAACCCTGCCTGGGTGCTGTAGAGACCTGCTTCCTTTCTATGGTCAGGCCAGGTAAGCAAAAACAAAAGGGAGAAGCTGGGGCCCAGTCAGGAAACCCCCTCACCCAGTGTCAAGGCACATGTGGAAGATGGAAGGGTCCTTAGGGATCATTTAGTCTAATTCCTTCATTTTACAAAGCCAGGACTGGAACACAGGTCACCTGACTTCTAGATCTTTGGTTATTCCACTTTACCTCCTGGAGTTGGTAAAGCTGAATAAAACCAAGGACTACAGCAGGACATACCAACTCCAAGCTTTTTCTGAACAGCACCAAAAGTCCCATCTCCAGGATCTCACCCTTCTCAGAACCCCTCCCCCGCATTTCTCCCTTCTCTCTCCCAATTTCCTAGTGGAGATGGAAGGTTCCTAGAAATCTTGCCACATGGAAGGAGTGGACAGGGGCAGCCAGGCAAAGGAAGATACAGCCTCTGTAATTACTGCTCTGCACAGACACTATCTTGCTCGAGGTGCCAGGGAGTCTAGCGGGGAAATACCAGCCCAGCCTGACTAGGTCTGTTGTGTGTCTGAGAATGTCCCAGCAGCTGAATAGGATGGGGGATGGTAGAGGGGGACCCCGAGCGTGGTAGGGAAAGGAAGATTGGTTGGAAATTTGGCTTTGAAAGTTGTTGTCACCCTATGCACAGGACATAGGGCCAAAGGGCAAGGCTTTTTAGTTTCTCCTTATGGTCAAGTTCCTTTATTTTTTTAATCTGCCCACAGCAGGAAACAGTCCCTCTCCTAGAGAGGGCCCCTGACCCATCCTTCTAGCTGAGCTTTGGGAAGTGGAGGGGACATGGGGGCAGGATCAATGTCTCCGTGTCTCCCCATCACCCAACACTCTCTCTAGCACCTCCTCTAAAGGAAAACAAGCATCTACATAGAGAGCTGTTGCCTCTGGTTGCCGTGGCAACAAGCCCCACATTGCCCATAAAACCGGCTTGCACCATCGTTTTTAAATTTTTTATCATCATTTTAGGCCCGTCTCCAAGAATGGTATTAGAGTGTGGCTTGGTGACATGGAAATTGTCAGGGCCCATGTTTTATTAACAGCCTGTCGGGGAAGAGGTGGAGGGAGAATGGGGTGGGGCTGTTAGAATAATAACCTGCCTACAGGAGATGGTTCGGTCAGTTTGCCCTCCTCCTCACCACCGTGGTCAGAGACCTACAGAATCATACACTGTCATCCTTAGAAGGGACCTTAGAAAACTGCCTGGACCAATCCCTTCATTGCCCAGAGGGGAAGCGGCTGGCCCAAGGTTACAGCAACTGAACCAGAATTAGGCTTCGGCCGCCTAACTCCCAGTCCAGGGCTCCTTCCCTCATGCCTCCGTTACTCTCCCAGAGCATAAGGGGTCCCACACCCTCCGGGTACCGGCCCCCTATGACCTGGAGTGGAGAAGGAAGAGGCAGTGGTGCCTGATACGGTCCCTCCGGATCTCAGAGAGCTATTCTCAAGGTCAAGGACCTTCTTTTTGCATCCACCAGTCTCTGCTTTTCCACACAGTCAGACTCAATCTTAACTCAGTTTATTAAAAAACATTTGGATTTGTAAAAATGTGCTAGTTGACCCACTCCTCTGTCCCATCAGGTCCCTGGAGCTGGGCTGGGGGTGGTCTTCCTGGCTTTCTTCTTTTAATGCAAAAGTCCAAAAGGGTACCCAAACTGGGGAAAGGGAGTCTGAGTTAAATCCCCAAATCCTTTTAACAGCAGCCAGCCTCTCCCTTAGTTCATGTTTATAAAAATAAAACAGGTACAAGTACACACACACACACATATATGCATGTATATGTGTGTATATATATATATATATATATATATATATAAAATATATATGTATAATAGAACACTTCTCCCACCTTTTTAGGGAATTGGATAGGCAGGACCTGGTTGATCTCAGCTCCCATAATGGCCCGATAAAGTCATTTTCTTATGCTTACTATGTCCTTGTGAATTTGTAGAAGGTTGAGGGTATGGTGGAGGCTAGGGGAGAAAGGAGAGACAGGAAGGGGAGCAGGAGGAATCGGCTGGGAGACAAGGGGGACGAAACCTGGCCATGTGGGTCTACTGGATCACCTTTGCCTGTCCTCAGTAGGGTGCGCCCTACCCTCAGCCTGGTAAGGGCAAAGTTCCAAGCAGCTTCCTGCTTTGTCCCAGCACTCACAGCCCAGGCCCAGGGCTATCGACACTAAAAAGGAACAGCTGCAGTTCCCAGAGTTGGCCCAAGTAACATTCCCTGAGGCAAGCTGGCCCTTCCCTCGTCCTTCCCTTGCACTAAGGGACTTGGATCTGTAGGTCCTCATCCTCATCCACGTCACTTGTACCATCCCCAGGTTCTTCAGTCCCAAACCGAGAACTCCGGATCTTTCCAAAGAGTGGGGTGTTCTGCTGCCGGCGGAGCCTACAGGGACCGGGTGAGAGTGGAAGGGAGGAATGAGATGGTCAGAGACTTAATACAGAATTCGGGGAGGAAATTTCAAATGCTGCGGTCCCACCCAAGGCAAGAAAAAAACTGGTGTATCAAGATAACTGCAACGGAAATCCCTATTAGGTATATGGTATGATGGAAAGAACAACAGCTTAGGAGTCAGAGGGACCTGGGTTCAAATCCTGCTTCTGACACTTGCTACCCAAGTGACTTTGGGCAAATCTTGTAAGCCTTCCTAAACCTCAATTTCCTTATCTGTAAAAATGAGGGGGAGGGGACAGTTGGGTTCTCAACCCAGCTCCAAGCTTGATCATCAACCTCTTCTCAATAGACTCTCTAGCAGTGTGGTATAATGGTTCAAGAAGCAGCAGACTGAAAAGAATGAGTACTACTCCTGGCTCTCAAATAATAATCATGTAACCTTATGCTAGTCTCTTTCCTTCACTGTGCCTCAGTTTCCTTATCTGTTAAATGGGAATAGTAATTTATTGCCCTATATTCCCTAAGCTAGTCAGAAGATCTAAGAAATAAAAGCATTTTTAGAAGTATAAAGTGCTCAATAAACATACTGAGGTAGCTAGGAATTACATAGTTAGAGCAACTAGATGGGCAAGGTAGAAAGAACACTGGGCCAGGAGTCAGGAAGACCTGAGTTCAAGTCCTACCTCATACACTTCCTAGCTGTGTAACCCCGGGAAAGTTACTTAACTTCTGTCTGCCTCAGTTACTTCAACTATAAAATGGGTACAATAATAGCACCTACCTCACCAGGTCGCTAGGAGGACCCAATGACACAGTATTTGTAAAGCTTAGCACAGTGTAAAAGCTTAGCACAGTGCCTGGCAAACTGTTATTGTTCAGTCGTGTCTGACTCTTTCGTTACCCCTTGGACCATACTGTCCCTGGGGTTTTCTTGGCAAAGATACCCCAGTGGTTTGCCATTTACTTCTCCAGTGGATTGAGGCAAACAGGGTTAAGTGACTTGCCCAGGGTCACACAGCTAGTAAGTGTCTGAGACCAGATTTGAACTCAGGTCTTCCTGACTCCAGGCCCAGCACTCTATCCACCGAGCCACCTAGTTGCCTCCCACTTGGCAAACAGTAGGTGCTTAATAAATGCTTATCCCCTTTCCTTCCCCTTCCCTAGTGGATAAAGTACTGGACTTTGAAGTCAGAAACACCTGAGATCAACTCTGGCCTCAGACAGTACCTGTGTTACCCCTGATTAATCATTTAATCTCTGCCAGCCTGTTTCTTCACCCATAAAATGGGTATAATAACAGGACTATTGTGAGGATTAAATGAGATACCACATGTAAAGTACTTTTCCAACCTTAAGAGTGTTATATAAATGCTAGAGGTTATTATTAAATATAAAGGATTAGAATTATTACCCAACTATCTGGGGTATTATGAAGCCCAGGGACAGGAATGAAGTTAATAATGCCTTATAAATGTAGCTTAAAATATGGGAGAGGGGTCATAGATCTTACATAATTAACAAATCAAAAGCATCAAATGTGTGCCCAGCATCCACAAAAGTGGATGCCTCATAAAGGAGCAGAAGTGATCCCAGTTTCTTCAAGTTATGCCAGAAGAGCACAGGCCCCAGCAGGCCCTCCTGAATTGGAAAGACCTGAAGTATAGGCTTTGTAATGGACTGTCTGTCCCATTTCTGAGCACCGCCTCGATCAGTCAGTCAGCAATTATTAGGTGCCCACTGTATGCCAGGCACTGGGCTGGTCGGCAAAAACAGTCCCTGTCCTCCGAGAGCTTACATTCTATTGGGGGAAGACAATATGTATGTTGTTGTCATTCAGTCATTTTTCAGTTGTGTCTGACTCTCAGTGACCCCATTTGGGGTTTTCTTGGCAAAGATCCTGGAGTGGTTTGCCATTTCCTTATCTAGCTCATTTTACAGATGAGGAAATTGAGGCAAATAGGGTTAAGTGACTTGCCTAGGGTCATATAGCTAGTGTCTGAGACTGAATTTGAACTTAGGTCTTCCTGATTTCAGATCTGGTGCTAGTCTATTCACTGAGCTACCTGGCTGCCCAGTATGTATAGATAGAGGTACATAAAAAAATAGGTACAAGGTAATTAATTTGGGGAGAAAGCACTAGCAGCTGGGAGAATCAGGAAAGGTCTCAAGATGGAGCTTGAACTGAACTGTGAAAAAGCAGAGATTATAAGAGACAGAGGTGAGGATGTACATTTTAGGAGAACAGCCAACAAAAAAAGCACACAGGAACCTGAGAATCATGTTTGCAGAACAGCAAGGCCAATTTGACTGGATTGCAATGTTACATGGAGGGAAGTGATGTGTAATAAGGCTGGACAGGTAGGTTGGGGCCAGGTTGTTAAGAAATGTATATATTGGGGCAGCTAGATGGCACAGTGGATAGAGCACCGGCCTTGAAGTCAGGAGGACCTGAGTTCAAATCTGGCCTCAGACCAAGCACTTGACACTTATTAGTTGTGTGACCCTGGGCAAGTCACTTAACCCCAATTGCCTAAAAAAAATGAAAAGAAAGAAAGAAATATATATATCGAGAGGAGTTTACATTTGATCCTATAATACGAGGGAGCCACTGAAGTCTATTGAGAAGGGGAGTAATACGGTCAGATTTGTGCTTTAGGAAAATTAGTTTAGCAGCTGTGTGTCAGATGGATTGGAGAGGGTAAAAGACTTGAGGAAGGGAAACCTATTAGGAGGGTGTTTCAATAGCCCAGAAGACAGATGATGAGGGAGTGGAGAAAAGGGGAGGTATGGAAGAGACATTGTGGAGGTAGAAAAAGTAACATTTGGTAACTGACTGGATAAATGGGAGGAGGAGTATGGATGACAGCAAGGTTGTGAACCTAAGTGACACGAAGGATGGAGTGCCATCCACAGAAAGAGAGCGATGTTCAGTAGAGAGATGAGTTTTAGAAGAGAGATAATGAATTTAGTTTTGGACATGTTGAGTTTGAGAGGTCTACAGAACATCTGATTCAAAATTCCAGCAGGCAGTTGGTGATGGAGTTTAGGAGAAACTAGGGCTGGAAGGCCAGTTCTGGGAGTCAGTGGCACAGAGATGATAAGTCAACCCATGTGAGCGTATGAGGTCATCAGGAGAGAGTGTGTCAGAAGACAAGAGGGCCTGAGACAGAGGCTGGGAGGGGACACCAACAATTGCAGGGATGAGGTTGATGATGACCCGGCAAAGGAGACAGAAGGAACAGAGAGACCAGGAAGGATGCTGTTATAAAAACCCAGAAAGGAGACAGTATGTAGTAGAAGTGCATGGTCAGTAGTGTCAAATGATGCCAAGAGGCCACCAAGAAGGACGAGGTTAGGGGAAAGGTTAGGGGAAAGGCCATCCACCCAATTTGGCAACGAAGAGCTCACTGATGATTTCAGAAAAGGCAGCTTCAGTTAAGTGAAAGACATCAGAAGTCAGGATCTGGAAGATGGTGAAAGGAGAGGAAGTAAAGGCAACAACAGTAGGAAGCTTTTTCAAAGAGTTGGCTGAGAATGGAAGGAGAGATACAGGAAAACAATTTGAGGGGATGGTAGGGCCTAGGAAAGAATTTTTAAGGATGTGACTGCAGGCACTAGGGAAAGAACACAGAGAAAGACTGAAAATTAAGGGGTGGGGAATGACAGTGGAGACAAACTGCTGGAGAAGGCTGACGGGCTCATTGCCAGGTGGCTGCAGAGTAATGAATTTTTTGGCCACTGAATTTTTCTTTTCTTTTTAAGACTGGCCCTCCTTGTGTTTGTTTGTTTGTTTTTTAGTTTTAGGCAATTGGGGTTAAGCGACCTGCCCAGGGTCACACAGCTAGTAAGTGTCAAGTGTTTGGTCTGAAGCTGGATTTGAACTCAGGTCCTCCTGACTTCAGGGCCGGTGCTCCATCCACTGTGCCACCTAGCTGCCCCAAGGACCTCCTTGTCTTGATAGAAGTGCAGGGTCTATCCCTGGGTCCAATCCCACTACTGATTGACACAAGATCTTTCACCTGCTCCATCTCAGACCTGGGATAGCTCACTTCTCCTTAGGCCATCTGGTAGCCCCCATGATCCCAGGTGGGAGGAGGGGTTCACCATGTTGGTGAATTAGTGCAAGTATCTAACTGAGCTAAGTCCACTGTAGTCAGGAGTTCCCAAGCTCAGGATCCTCCATCCTCAGCCTCCCTGGTAGCTGAATGACAGGTGCGTATCACCACACCAGCCACGGCAACTTTTAAAGAGTACCCACTAAGCTGTTTTTTTTCCCCCTTAATTTAATCATCCATTATTATTTCAACAAGTATACAGAGCATACTATGTGTATTGTGCTAGGTACTGAGTACCCACAAAATTGTAAAGGGGTTGCAAGTTGTGTCTGTAGAAGGAATACAAAATTCTGAGGAAATCCACCAGTCCTTGAAGGATGGGATCAGCACGTGTCCAGCACTGAGCCAGGCTCTACGAAGGCATATAAAGACGTTCATGGTCCCTGCCCTTGAGAGCTTCAAATTTCCTTGAGATAAAACTAATACATATAGAACAACTGTGAGTAATAAACATAACAGTGAGGTGTGTAGCAGACATAGAAATACACAGCGAGAGGCCACAAAATCCCTCATGGGGGAGTTGGGTCTACAAAGACCAGTAGGGTTTGAATCCGGAGAGTGAAGGAGAGGGCATTCCAGGTGAGAAGCCCCATGGGAGCCAAGTCTGAGTCAAGGCAAAGAGGTGGCAATAAATTAACGTGTTCCCCAGTCAGTGAGGAATCTTGCCTAGGTTAGGGAGCAGAGGGAATGAAGGTGGACAAGTGGTATTGGGCTCCGTTTACAGAGAGCTGGGGAAGGCTGGGCAAAGGTCTTCATTGTTACTGTTGTGCAGTTGTTTCAGTCCTGTCCGACTCTCCGTGACCCCATTTGGGATTTTCTTGACAAAGATACTGAGGTGGTTTGTCATTTCCCTCTCCAGCTCCTTTTACAGATAAGGAAACTGAGG